AAACGTCAAAACGTACACAGCAAATCCTATTCCACCATACCGTGCCTAGGATATGATGACGTCAGTACAGCTTGCTAACTACGCTCACAGGCTACATACAACGAGATACAGAACGGTCATCATGGACCAGCGTTGCCTCTGCCGCAAATTAGTTTCATAGTATTCTTTTGATGTGGGACTCCGCTCACCCAGACGAGTTCTACCTATAGAAATGTTCTCAGAGAGATGGCTGCTCCTGTGACGGTGTCAACCTACCTCTTGTCCGAACGCAAGTCCTAGCAGAAATCCCATGATGTCACTGTTATTTTCATACTTAATATTGCTTACCCCAATCGTATATCGCCATAACACAGGCGGCAACTGCGAAGTTATCGAATCATTACGGTGATCATGCGGCTGGCTCTCCACGAACCTACAAAATAGCTGCCAATAATTTCTGCATTGATGAGTGGCCACCAACTAGGATCGTTCGAGACTAGAGGCATACTATCAGAGGATGGGAACAAGCGAGCAGGGGAACTTGGTGGACATACAACGATCGCATTCATGCTTGATATACCAGCATCCAGCGCTTACATTGCCAAGTGAGATTTGAAAGATGATATTTGATTGACCGAAGTAAGCGTTTCGGCATGAATTCTGTAGTAGAAGCCTTGAGCTCAGCGATATCAATAGGGCTGTTCGATTCTTGCTTAGCCCCGCCTGTCAAAAAATGACATTGTTTGATGTTCGGCAGATACCCTGCATTTGTCAGTACCCACGCGCACGTCGTTCTGTTGATCATCGAGGGTTGTTGACTGTTGTTCCGTGCAGGAGAAACTATCACTAGAGGCCTAGGCAAGTCTTGTTTAAAGACAAGGAACTTGAACATATTGTGAGGACAAAGCGTTTGATCCCGCGGAACCAGTTCGTGTTGACATGATCATGTGCGTGCTCCACTCGAACTCCTTCTATGTTCCACTTTGAGTTAGGCGCGCTCCAACTTCAAGTCCAAGAATTGAGCAGCCTTACTATTAATGGCATCAAAGGAGGTGTTGGTGAGAATTTTAAACCGCAAACCAGTGACTCGCGCAGAAAAAGATCAACCAACTATTCGAGATTCAGGCTAGTGTGATCTTCCAGATGTTCTTGGCATTGTGTGGTTCGACCTAGGCCTGGAGCGATGAAGGGGAATATGGATCCAGGGATATTGATGGTATCAAAGCAACACGTATCGATAAAATCGCAAAGCAGTGACTCGTGTGGAATGTTAGAACACCACAAAAGATCCCAGCCCCCGATTCAAGTACATAGAGAAGAGAGATATTTGAGCGCGAGCCCAAGAGTGTGGGAATTTAGGATGCAGACTTCATTTGAGATTTGCAAGATTTGCACGGTTGTAGTACCTCCTCCACATCCATCTCGTGGGAGTCAGGGATATCTTTTTGTCTTGATGGCATTACAACGAGTGAGGAAGTGCGCACGACTCGACAGGCACTTGTGAACAGGAACAGGGCGCACTGGAGGGAGTTGAGCGTGAGGGATTTGCTTGGAGGTGGTTGGGACAGGTGAGGCACCTGCTTGCTGCAATTACACCCATTTGTTATTCTGGTGCGCCTATAGAACGTGGCTTTTTTTCAGACTTTGTCAATTAATGATCGATGAACGTTGAACGTTCAACGCTGAGCCGTTATGCGGCCAAAAGTGGAGAGAGAACAGATCCGGCCTGCTTGTGAATTGTTCAGACGGTAGACTTTTTTTTGAGGGTTGCATCGCCTGCTGATCTGTGTCAGATCTATGGCTGTATGATTTTACTGATAAAACAATTGAACTGCCGGTGATACACGGACATCTTCGCGTTGGAAACGAGTTCCAGAAATCACAATCAATCAGTCGTTCTATATTTGCACTGTTCAAACATTCCGCTTATGAAAACACTGCTTTATGGTAATCTTTACCCTGATTCGATCGAGTCGGAGGGGCTTTCCAGGAGTGATTAATGTTCCGTTCTCCTTTGTATCACACCACGAGTCCTAGTCAACGGTCAATCAAGAACGTTTCAGCTCCGTGGTGCCTTTTTCAGCGATGGGGCGCTGGATGGTATATCTAGTACGAACTCCATCATCATCACCATCACCATACCTTTACCAAGTCCGTCGCTCAGTGCTCACTCACGCCGCACCATCCCTCAAATATGACTGCAGTCACAAATGATCCCTATTGGTGGCCGCAGATCAATTTCAATATTAATCTCAGTTATTATATAGGTTCGTGGATAATTAGTCGGATAATGTCCCTGATGTCTCAGTTGTATTTTCACAGCTGCCTCCTCTGCTGCAGTGTTATACGATTGGGGTAAGTAAGGCAGCGTTAAAGAACTATTTTGGCCTCCTCATGATAATTTCAGCATTGACAATTGGACAAGAGGTAAATTGATGCCATTACCGATGCAGCCAATTTACTAATAATGATTCCTACAGTTTGAACTAGTCTGGGTGAGCAGAATCCTATATCAGGAGGATGCAATTAATTTGCGGCAGGGGCATCACTGGTCCCTCATTACGATTCTATACATTGGTGTGCGTAAATGTTACATGCGGTGCAGTTGGCAAGACATGCTGATTTCAAAATATTCTAGTTGCGCTACATTGGAATAGTATACATCGTGTGGGTCTGCAAGGTTAACAAGTTTCCGTCGTGCTAATAAGCCATTACCCTCAATTAGCATCAACATGCTGCGTATGTCTCCTCACATACACCGCGGTTTATTCTGACCAGCGACATATAGAATTTCTTCCGACAGTCTCGATAACAGATGAAGTAAGTATCTTAATGCATTTGTTCCTGCCATTCTCATCCGACTAACCGCACTCCTACTACAGGGGTGAGTGAGATTCTCAACACAAGCTCGTCGGTTCAACATACTGACTGCAACAGCTGTGAGTTTTTTTGGAATGTTCAATCCTCTTCCGAGATGCGTCACCAACTGGAATTTTCAGGCAATGTTATGTACTTCACACTAAACTGGATGAGTGTCGTCACAAATGCTATGCTAGGCGGTAAGCTACTCAGCTACGATACCTCAGTGATAATTTCCTGACTGGTACATCCTGCAAGTCATCATGATCACTCGGCTATATGCCATGTATCAGAAATCAAGAAATATGCTTATCTTTCTCGTTGCGTTCTTCACGGCCGTCACGATCGCCTGTGGAGTGATGACTGGAATGGTAAACAAGTATACTATAGGGGGTAAGCTTCCATTACGATCGAAAGGTTCATGCTGATCAATGAATGACAGGGGAGCTCATCCTTTCGGGTACCTACATGTGTTATCCCTATGACCCGGAGGCAGACACCGCCATTTTGCTTCCCATGACATGGATACTCACCACTGTATGGGAAGTGCTCGCACTGTGTCTTGCAGTCTGGATTGTTGTAAAACACTTTCGTGAACTGCAACAATCGCCGACGGGATGGGTTGTTAGGGACTATTTCACAGTGTTAATGAGAACTCACGTGGTTTACTTTGCAAGGTACGTCAGTGATCTGAATGTAGTCAACTTTCTTTTCTGAAGCTTCGTACATGCTAGCTTTGTTGCTGTTTCCTGTCTCGATCTCGGGCTTTTGTCTTCAAACTTAGTATGCCCTTTGATGTCGCTGACATTTTGGTGACCTGTATTCATCACTTTTACAGGACTCACTTGCTGTGGGACCTCAGATTTATTCTGGCATTCGTCAAATTCTCTCGGTCATGCAACTGTTTGTGCTTGGACCACGCCTCATCCTTGATGTTCGACAGCATCATGCTGAGGTCGTGGACAACTCCGATGCAGGAGTAGACATGATTCCAATGTCTTTCCAGCAGCGCACGCACGTGTCCACTGGCAGTGGTGTATAGTACTAGAAGTCCCGATCAACACTTGATAGATACTCCCCACATACTAAAAACTTCATTTTACTACTCAGTACACAGTCACTTATTTTCTCTTTGTTCTTCCATCCCAATCAACTTTTCTGCACAGTTACATATAATGTGCCGCGTTCTGTTTCCGATCTTAATGGTGTGGCTGTGGAATCGACATCTGGACCGGTGCGCTCATGAAGTCAATGGATCTTTCGCTGATGTTCCTACTGTTTTTTTGCATCAATGGTGCGAGTTCTGTTAGTTTAATTCTGTTCTAGCATCGATGAATTAAATATGTGACGAGCCAATCAAGCGAATTTTGCACTATAATTGGCGAGATAAAGTGTAAATGTGCGCTACGCCTGATGCATCGCTCTATCTGTCAACTAGTCTGAATCAAATATTGGACATGAGCCAACGATCGAAAAGATTTCAAGGTGTTCTATTCTCGATGCACGGTTTTATACGCGAACTGGTTTATGAATCAAATATTGGACAATGAGCCAACGAAGAGAATTCAAGGCATTCTATCCTTGATGCACGGTTTTATGTGCGAACTGGCCTGTGAATCAAATACTCAAGCAAAAGATGAGTCGAGTACACAAGAACTTTGGTGAAACATTCTAGTCGACAAAAACACGACAATATACGAAAACGAAATAGACTATAGCTAGAGTGCAAGAATATGTATTAGGGTCATTTGTACAACAGAATCACAGATAGACTACATGTGAATATATACCAGACGACAGCCATACGACATAGAAGGTTCAACGACATGTTTCGCGACAGCATCATCGACCTCCCAAAGTGTGCCAACGACGCTTTTGAACCCTGGAAACTGAATACCAGCTGCTAGGTGAATCATTTCATCGGGCGTCTCCTCATCGCCTATAGCAGTATGACAAGCCGATAAGAACGCAAACTCGGCATGCGGAAGATGTTTCTCCATGATATCGAGCAGCGTCAGATGTTCGTCTCTCATGACGAATTATAAGGCTGCACAGGGTCCTGCTTGCCATGACAAGCGAGGTGCACCCAGGTATTCTGCTGCAAGGCTTCGAGTGCACATGTTCGTGTGGCTTTGTCACCAGAAATAGTGGTGCGGTTAGCCGTTGCAGGAACGAGCTTATGAGCAAGCTCAAGCTCGCTGTCGCACTGTCGACAGCCAAGAGCGCCTTGTCTTTCCCTGCACCCGGTTGACCCTGTCCGATCGCCACCAAGGACGGAGGCACGCGCTTCTTCATCTACCATCTAGATCTGATCAGAGCCGAAAGTGTTGGCATGTAAGAGCAAATGTAGAGACCTTCCAGGCATGGCTCCTTCCCAGAACGATCCGCCTTTGTTTGGAACGGGTGAGCTGCATGGAGAGGAATGGACGTGAAAGCAGCAGTCGGACACAGCCAGATTCGAGAGGGGCGCTTTGGTTTGAGGACATGCTCGAGTACGTCGATGATGGGTAGCATAATCCGGTCCCATATTATCTGCAAGAGCACTATGAGATCCGTCCTCGACTCCCCTGGGTTCATCCGAGATGAATCTCGTATTGCCCTAGAGAAGCGATCTTTGAGAATCTTCATATCTGCGAGAGCGATGGATGGTAAAGGAACATGATGGGGGTCCCCTGACATCGGGACGATGATGGCGCGATGAACGTTCATGTACTGGAGTATGAAAGTTCTGAAATTATGTGATGAGTGTAAACTCGTTGAAAGAAAATGATATATACAACCTCGGAACCATAAGTTGCTCCTCCTGCAGCAGTGTTTGCTTCACGTCGTGAGAACCTTGTTTGGGGAACCGTTGGCGAACATGTCCGATTGCAGGTCCGATGCTCTTGACTGTGTGCTTGACCACGGGTAGACTTAAGTCCCCATTGTGAGCGGCGCTTTTCAGGAGGCTAAGTCTAATTCATTTGAGTATCAGATGCCACTTGAAGATGTTTAAGTAGATGACCTACGATATCTTGAAATTACTGGTCTCCTTGTGTGTTCGAAGACGTGATATAATTTCCGAATTGCTGTACCCGCTAGCAGCATATCGCTCTACTAGTGGTCTTATGATTGCATCCGGAGCTGCGGTGCAAACGATATCATTAGGAACTCATGAGTTCAACTCAATTCCAGTTTAAGCTTTCATTGCACTTACGAACCGAACCTTTTTGCCTTGTGGGTTGGACATTAGAAAAATGTGTCATTACTGGGCTCCAGCACTTCCAGAACAATGGTACACTGGCACGAGAAGATGATTCTGTATAAACGGTAGTACAAGTTTACAACAAGAGACCTATTGCACTGAGGCTTACTTGAACGTGGCACCACTTGCAACTCCTCTCGACTGTAAAGGAATCCGCATCGCCTTTATTATACTATCTGCGAATATCAGGTCGTCCACGCAGGCTTCGTCGAATATGCAGTCAGTGGTAGAACAAAACTAGGTATACACGGAACAAACAACGATCGGACATTGAAAATCAGAATCGCAGCCAAAAATTCACCATATAACATTATGACTCGACAAAGCGACCGTAGCGGGCTCTGCGAGCGGCGTTATCGACACGAAGAGCTCGGGGAAGCAGTAGTATGTACTAGAGGAACGCTTCTCATACACGTTCGTCATTCAGGGGGGAGTGGCAGTGTTTTAAAGTATTTCCTTATTTGTCGAAGTAGTCTCCAAAATTTCGACGCGCTCCTCTCGCGATCTTTTGCGAGCTCCTCCGATTCTCGATTATCGCAACGATGACAAAATATATCCTTGTTTCCGGAGGCGTTGTTAGCGGGATCGGGAAGGGTGTTATCGGTGCGATACAGCGCTTTTGGCTGAACGTGATCGTTTACAGTCATTCCTAGCCTCCTCAACAGGCCTACTCCTCAAGACCGCAGGCCTCAAGGTTACAGCAATTAAAATAGATCCTTACATGAACATAGATGCCGGTACGATGCGACCAACAGAACATGGTGAGATCCGAGTGCGAATGTTTCTCCACAAACATCTAACATTCCATCAGGTGAAGTCTACGTTTTAAATGATGGCGGTGAGGTGGATCTAGACCTGGGGAACTATGAAAGGTACCTCGACGTCACACTCTCTAAAGACAACAACATCACTACGGGAAAAATCTATCGTGAAGTGATTGAAAAGGAGGTGAGTTTTACTCTCTTTTCAGACCTGACTGGTGTTTATCATCGTGAGTAGCGGAGAGGGGAGTACCTTGGAAAAACGGTGCAGGTACGTCTATGGTCATTGCTACCTCGCCACTCTCAATCCTTTGTGGTTAGATAGTGCCGCACGTGACGAACGCCATTCAAGATTGGATAGAGCGTGTTTCCAAGATACCGGTGGACGAATCGGGAGAGGAACCTGATATCTGTATCGTGGAGGTAAAAAGTAATATGCAATACTTTCCGCCATGATATCAACTTTTTTTTAGCTGGGCGGCACTGTCGGAGACATTGAATCGGCGCCGTTCATAGAGGCGATGCGCCAATTTCAATTTCGCGTTGGACATGATAACTTCGCACTAATCCACGTTTCACTTGTGCCTGACATGCACGGTGAGCAGAAAACAAAACCGACTCAAACCACTGTCCATGCGTTGCGTGGGCTCGGTCTGCTCCCTGACCTAGTAAGTGACACATCATTCTTAAATGACATACCTGACGTTTGTCTGAAGATCGCGTGCCGGTTATTGGGACGCCAGCCCCTTGAATCCTCCACCAAGGACAAAATTTCCATGTTCTGCCACGTTGCGTCGGAGCAGGTGATAGGTGTCCATGATGTTTCGTCTGTCTACCACGTCCCTCTCCTTTTGCAGTCACAGCGAATTATTGAGTATCTCCGTAAGCGGCTTAATCTCGCAAGTTTGAACATCACGGAGGAGTGGGTTTCCAAAGGGCTGTCCTTGGAAATGAAGTGGAGAGCCGTGACAAAAGGGTACTATCATTCTTTTCCTCTATCATTGCTTCTCATTTCTCATTGTTCAGGCAAGAACGCCTCTTCGACGAGGTCAAAATCGTTCTTGTTGGGAAGTACACCGATTTAAAAGACTCGTACATGTCCGTCATCAAAGCCCTTGAGCATTCTGCGTTCCGCGTTCGCAGGAAACTCATCATTCAGGTTGGTTATGTTGGTCCCCGCAGAATAAATGACTATAGTGATGTTGCATAGTGGGTTGAGTCATCGGACCTGGAGCCTTCAACGCAGGAATCTGATCCTGCTAAATACCACGATGCTTGGCGAGCAGTTGTCGGTGCTGGGTAAGTGGCAGCCCTACGTTTGATTAGGAAAACACCTGGTACTCAGATTGGGACAGCGGGATTCTGGTTCCCGGTGGGTTCGGAAAGCGCGGCACGGAAGGTATGATTCTTGCCATCAAATGGGCACGAGAGCAGAAAGTCCCTTTCCTTGGTATCTGCCTGGGCTTCCAGATGGCTGTGATAGAATGGGCACGTAGCGTGCTCAACATACCAGGTTCGCTCCATTTCTCGTTTGTCACTACTTCTCTTATCTTCCGTAGATGCTCATTCGGCTGAGCTCGTTCCCGACACGCAGAATGCTTTTGTCATCTTCATGCCGGAGATCTCACGCACTCATATGGGCGGAACAATGCGCCTGGGTCTTCGACCCACTGTATTTGACCGTGAGTTCGAGACTTGGTCCAAGGCTCGCAAGTTATACGGCGGCAATGAAAAAATGTGGGAAAGGCATCGACACCGATACGAGGTCAACCCGGAACAGGTGCAGCGTCTGCAGGAGAGCGGTCTTACATTTGTGGGCAAGGACGAAAAAGGGGAGAGAATGCAAATCCTTGAACTCAAAGGTATGGTTATGCGCAATTGATCTGAAGACTGTTGCGATTTGTCATTGCAGATCACCCATTTTTCATGGGTTTACAAGCCCATCCTGAACTGTGCTCGAGACCACTCAATCCTTCACCGCCCTTCTTAGGCTTCATTGCGGCGTCTTCCGGACAATCTGATTTAGAAGAACAGATTCAAGTGCAACTGAAATCCTTCCGCCCACCTCACCCCGAACATTCGATGGTTAGTGAAGAGGCGCTGAGGACAAGTACGCAGGAACACCCAATTGCCAATGGTGTCGGAACTATGACACCGCTAACCGACTAAACACATGTAGCTGTAAGATTGATGTATCATTCACTCGTACTGTAGTGAAACTGAATCACTCTGTCGTATAGCGTCTAGTAATACATCACACTGCACTCGGTAGGTCCATACTGTGTGACTAAATATTCAGCGCACCATAAAGGTATTCCACTTGCATTTCGAGAATCTTAGATATAGATCTCAAGATTTCATATTTGTACTTTGCGATCCTGATATTGGCATAATGTATTTTTAAGGAACGCATGCCCGCCTTCTGCTCACCGATGCTAATGGGCGCTCAATGAGCGGAAAACACGAATGTCGAACGAGAATAGAAAGAGAGCCAGGTACTGGTATTGATTCAACGAAGACCCGAGCCACATAGAAGTATCTGCCATAGTGATCGTGTAGTAAGGTAAAACTGCTATCAGTAAGAGTGTCCAACAAGACAGCGAGCATGACGGAGTACATCGGCGCAATGATTAGTATAGTAGAATGGTCGTATATTAAATAAAATGGCCGTGAGCTACGTACAATGGCCATGACTGTGATATTATCACCCTTCTGGAACGAGTGAGGATCACTTTACAGGCCGAGGATTTCCGAGTCGGCAGGGTACGAGACACGACCCACATGGGCCGTCGTCTGCATGGGAGGCACGTACTCAGATCTTGATCTCTGACATACGGCAGGAGGCAACGGAGGACGGGCAGCAGCGGCAGGTACAGCAGCGAGGGAAGGCAGAGGGCTCAGGAGGCACGACTGGCAATGAGACCTGAAGAGGCAAAGGAAGAGAATCAGTAGTGACAGGTAGCGGAGTATGGTGGTTTTAACGAAAGTACGGGGAACGTGGATGACGTCGATGAAAACATCCAATGAGTGATGAATGAAGAAAGTACTCAAGTAAATAAACGAATGTGAGATCCAAACGATGGAGAGGCATTGAGTCGACATGGCGAGGTAGTTGGGCGTTTGCTCAGGTGCGTCTGGAGGTGCTTGGTCTGCTTCTACAATGCCGTGAAAGGAGCACGCGGAGGCCATGGTGGTGAAAGAGTAGTTGGGAGGACAACGAGCGATCAATCGATCAGAAAGTGCTCAGATTGATGTCAAGCGCGCATGGCGCTAGACCAAAGTTGGAGGACAGGTGGAGCTCAGGAGTCTGGAGAGTCACGCGAATTGATTCCGCGGGATCAAACGTTCCGCCCTTGCATATTGTAGAAAGAACCGTTTTGAATGCTCTATGATGATATTAATGTGGTGATTTGTAGGCTAATAACGAACGTCGAGTGGTGCATTGTATGCGGTCTACATTAATATTGATCGATCCTTCACTGATTGCCAAACCCGCGTGATCTGTACTCGCGGCGTGGAGCATCATGCGACCATCCTCTCTGTGGTCTGGTCTCCCTCCCATAGCGTGAACCGCGGTACTCTTCGGTATTACCAGAAGGCTCACTGGGATGCACCCACTCTCTCTGTGGCCTGGGCTTCTCCCTTCCATAACGCGCACCTCGATACTCGTCGACGTTGCCAGAAGGGTCATTACCATCCATTTGCTTGTCCCGACGGAAGTTTCCTCTGGGGTTCTCGAAGGACCGGTTGTTCTGCCTGCCCCTTATTTCCCATGAATTTGCAGGTCTCGCAGAAGACCTAGGGTCCCGGTATGATTTTCCGAAATGCTTCGTGCGCCCGTCGTTAAGGCCCATCTTCTGCAGGAAGCCGTCGCTGACATACGGAGGCGTAGGTAAGCCGCATGCATCCGTCGCCCAACTTTTACATCCAGCCAGAATGTCGCCCTTCTGAACTCGCAACTCAGGTGACTTGGGGATATAATAGCCAAGAAGGGAAGCAAAAGTCTCCTTGATGGCTTCTTCGTCGATGTGTTGTAGTAGCGCCGTGATGGTGTTGTTCATTTCTTCCGAGGAAAGGCGTGGTGAAAGCGGCGCGTCGTACATCCTGGGTGCACCCCGCACTGGTCGACCCCTGGCGTCATGTGGTTTAATTGGTACACCCTTGAATACCGCTTGAGGATCAGAGTCGTAGTGAGCTGCGAGGTCCTGGACCTGGCGGGCGAGCTCATCTGAGGTGACTGGCTTCAGCGGAACTTCATTGAGCTGGCAGCTCAGAAAACCGATCTCCCAAGGAAGAAGAACTAGATCTCCACGTCCAACTGTAGAACCTTGGCGACCGGTACGACCGACACGGTGAATGTATTGTTCCGTGGTAGCGGGGACACCGAGCTGGATGACCCGTGTCACCCCTGGATAGTCCACACCTCGTGCAGAGACGTCAGAAGTGACAAGGATCGATGCTCCCGAGTTGTCAGCGCGGAAAGCATCAGAGGCGGCTATGCGTGAGTCCTGTGTGCGCTTAGAGTGAATTTCGTACACCTTGGTGTACGCGCCAGCAGGCAGCACTGCTTTTGAAAGCTCACGAGCGAGTGTCGCGAAAAGCTGTGTCATGCGTGTCGTGGGGAGGAATAATAAGACTTTGCTCTTGCCTGGGTTTGTAAGTTGGTCGTGTGCGAGGAGACGAAGAAAGTGGGGGATCTGTTGAGATGGACTGGGGAGGACGGTGTGATATTGGGGGACGTGTGCATGAACTGGGGATTCACTTTCAGGAACTACGTCAATGAATTTATGGTCCTGAGCAAGAACTGTCTGTGCGACCTGGCGAACGGTCCGAGATAGTGTTGCTGAAAAGAGGAATGTCTGCCTCTCAGATTTAGGTGGCAAATAACTCATAATCGCATCAATGTCATCCCGGAAGCCCATATCGAGAAGCATGTCTGCCTCATCGAATATTACCTAGCCACATACTGGTAAGTAAGGGGATCATACTAAACTCGTCGAAAGACATACCATTTTACATTTGCTGATACCTTTCGCTACATCAGGCTCCGACTGCAGCAAATCACGAAGTCGCCCGGGGGTAGCTACAACAACATCCCTTCGCCCTTTCATGAAGTCGCGCATCTGCATTCGCTTGCTTGCTCCTCCGTAGAATAGTCTAACTTCAAAATCATTGTGATGGGTAGTTAACTTGACAGCAGTGTTGGCAATCTGCGTAGCGAGTTCTCGGGTGGGGCTGATGATAAGGGTACCGACATGTTCTCTGGTAAATTGTCTCCTGGATTGCGCCTCCAGATGCTTGTCTGAAACAAGGCCTGCATCGCGAACCGCCTGCTTACCCCAAGCATGGATGGCATTAACGCGAGCCTCGATAGCTGGAATTAGGAACGCAAAGGTCTTCCCGGTACCAGTTTTTGCCTTGACCAAAAGATCTCGTGGGCGTGTTGGGACGTCGTTCGATGATGATTCAGGAGGTAGTGCAAGCTCTGGAAGAAGCTTTACAACTGCAGCTTGGACGGGGGTCATCGTTTTGAACCGATAAGGATTCTCAATAATAGCACGAAGTGTCGGATAGGATATCGTTCCCTTCATAGATTCCCATGATGGTTGTTCAAGAGAAAGGTTGCCCGCCGGGATACCTGTGGGTGCCGGAGCATTTGCAATATTTTCTTGCAGAGCGACAGAAGAAGGAACAGCTGCTGACGCTGTTGCAGTAGATTCATACTTCCGTGAACAAACACGAGGAATCAAAATGCCTGATAAATCACAGTTATTGCAACTGCATCTGGCTAGAAACCGGATAATCATACCTGCGCATTTGCCTCTGAATGTCGCAAACCCATGACTTTGGCTCTGAAAGGGTTGTGAACGACAGCATGCTCTACTTGAGGCTGTCGTTGCTCGAGCGAGCAGACTGCACGTCATGTACGAGCTATAAGCCTCAAAAATAAGGTATCACGACGTGACGAAATTAATGGTAAGAGGAAGGAAGTTTTTAAGAACCACTTGAATTGGGCTATTTTTCTAAAAAGGAAATCGAAAGCTTCAGGATTCAACAAGTATAAATAACCACTAGTCACATACCCTCAGCCACCATCATCACTTAGTAATCGCAATTATTCACGGTGCGTGCTGCATCTTGCAGCTCCTATTAACTTGTAGATAGCTTAATATGCCGAAGAACACAAAGTCATCAGCAACTTCGGGCACACGCAAGAAGAATGCTCGCAAGGCAGCTGTAGGCGTACCCCCTCCGGAAGTCCTTGTCGTCGCGAAGCAGAAGAAACAGAAAGGACAGAAAAAGGAGCCCCGGAAGAAGGTCTATATTCCTCCCTTTAAGCCAGCCCCACCGCAGCCAGATCCATTGGATACTCTCGGCCTTATACATAGACTTCCACCGGAACTAGTCGTTATTCTTCGATCCTTGGGAAAGAAGGATCCAGTCACGAAGGGACGGGCTCTGGAAGAACTTCAATCAAAATGGATCGATGAAAGTTCAAGGAAGGGGGATGAGAGCGTGGAATGCGATGCACTTGTCACGATGCTGCCAGTCTGGGTGTGTCGTTTGGCAATCATGATCCATATCTTGACATTGACTGTATCTAGTTTCATAGGGCTCCTGTATTCTTCACACATCCTGTCCGCCGGATTCGCCTCTTAGCTGCTGCACTCCATTTTTCATATTTACGGATCCCTGCTGTCCGGGATGCTGCTACCTTCTTTTTGAGAGAGACTGCAACATCTGAGCAAATTGAGACTCTCATGGGTACATGGTGCATGCTCGCTCATGACGTTGACCGTCAGGTGTCTCTGCAAGGACGGAAGTCCTGGTCTAGTATCACCTCTCCAGGCGTAGATGGAGAAACACTAGTAAACTTGGAAACGCTGGCTTCTATCATGGAATTTTTCCAAAGAACTCTTTTGGATCCTCCAGGAGTTCATCTTTACCTCAATCCTCCTGCACCAGTTGCAGCTCCTACTCCAGGCATCAAAAGGCCTAGCGGAAAATTTATTCCCGAAGCCCCTAAAGAAGAACTAGAATCCAAGGTAAATGAAGAGAGTGATCTCGATAGGAATGCTCGCCTTCGTTTTGGTGCACTGAGCGCATTCCGTTGGCTCTTTGGTAAGTTAGGTCAAGGCAACGCTCGTAGTTCTCCTCATAGTTCTATAGATGCTCGCCTTGCCTCCAAGATTATATCTCTAGATGATCTATCTGGGCTGCTATCCAACCCACTGTTTTGGACGTCGTTGTATTACGGTGAGCATGCGCCTTGGATCCCGGACCCTGAAATCCATGGTCTTGGGCATGGGCAACCTCAAGTACGCCAGGCCACGTGGGGACTGTTATCTATGCTACTACAACGTTACAAAGGTGATCTGATAATTATTACTTTTGTTCAAGGCGCTGAGAAATATACAGGCGCTATTAAGCCATTTATTCCCATACTGAGCGTTGTTTTGCTTCGTTCTGCATGGGTCGAGACAGACTCAGGAGTGAGAAATGCTTTGTTCCAGCCGGTCTTAATTTTTCTCAAAGGTAAACTGATTTCAATAGTCTTGGCATCAACCGTTCCCAACTTCATGGTTCTACAGAGTTCCCAAACGCGTGGATTCTTGAAGGGGCATATGACGCAGACAAACAACACGAGGATGGTGATGATTCGGACTCGGATAGCGAGGAGTTTGAAACTAAAACAACTTCCACTCGTAAGGAACATTCTTCTGAGGCATACCGGGAGTTTCTTCAATTCCTTGAACTTGGGTGCGCTGGATCACCTATCAGTGGGTATCCGACGGTCCTTGTTGCTTTGTCGACAATTCCCTCATCCGTATGTTCCTTATTGCGACATGTTGCAATTAGTAATCCGTCTAGCAGGTCATCGCAGCATCCTCTAGGACGGGGATGCCCCTCGACGATTTCTTTACTTCGTTCTGGGCAGCGATTGACGGCCATGCTTTGAGTTCTTTAGAAAGAAAGGTCCCTTCTGCCTCATTCCTTTCGTCTCTCCTGGAATGTTTGGTGTTCTTCTTGAGAAGACTGTTGGGTGGATCCGAGGACCATGGAGCGTTATCTGGATCTGTTTCAGATGGTCTGGTGTCCAATAACACACGTCTACAAGACGTGGCAGATGAACTTGTCAGATCTCAATTCACGCGCATTTGGCAAGAGGTTAAAGCAAGGCGCCTAAGAGCTGACGAGAATGATGTGGGGAAGTTGATAGCCAGTTCGTTACTATCTCTCCATCGCATGAACATCGGTGAGTGTATTACGTCCACCGCCATTTTGATCTAAGACATATTTCTTTCAGATTTTTTCACCACTGCCTGGGATACTGTCTCGAGTGCAATTCTTTCTCAAGATGACGAGAGTCTCTCTCTTATACCTACCGTGCTCCGGACGTTCGTGGATACTTTTGAAACGACAGACCTTCCTGCAGATGTTACACGCACTCTCATAAGCAAATATGTGCAAGAAACTGTTGGGAATTGCGAGACAGTCCTTGCCTCCAATTCGACCAGTGCTGGAGTATCGAAGAACATCGGCGTGGTGATCACACTAATGGAAACCTTTGGATCTCATCTATTCCAGCACACCGACTTCGCTGTGGTATTTAACCCTTCCCTTCTTTGTAAAAGTACAGTTCTTAACTGTTGGCAGAGAATGGATAACATGTTCGTTAACAATGCGCTTCGCATTCTACAAGCTTCTCCTCAGGCGATATCTACGTTCATGTCTCGTCGGAATGACGAGGATCTTTGTGTGGAACTATGGCATGTTCTACTGGTCGATGTCTCCCAACAGATCGACATGTTGTCGTCACTGCTGGACGTGATTGACACCGACATATGTCCTAAATATTTACGGCCCGAGGACGGCGAGTTAGATGACGTCATAGAACACCTGTTCATCGAGGTGCTAAACGGAACTACCTCGACTTTTCGCAGCGATTTGGTAAAGAGGCTCATCCAAGTACAAGGTGAGTCCTCCTTTGGTCTTGGTGTTTTTTTTAATAAACTGTTTTATAGACTTTTTCCTCTCGGAGAACGGGCAAGATATTCTATTCCAGACCCTCGTATCGTCATTATCGTCCACTGTAGACGATATTCTGTACACAACGAATGCGCCGTTCACTGCGCTGGCCACTGTTATAGAGTTCACGCGCATCATGCTCAGCAAGAACCATAAACTTACCAGTGACTCACTGGTATCTGTTCTCCCAAATGTCTTCATCGTAGGATATCTACTACCAGTAACATTCCCCACATTGGAAACGCCTATCATCGATGCCGCACGAGGGGTTTGGAATCTCTGTGTGTCGAAGCCAGACAATGGACTACAGGACGTCCTGAGCGGAATAATTAAAGAGAAATTGAAAGAGCTTTTTCAAGATTGCTCTACTTACATGCGGTTTGTGCGCCTTGCTATGTTTTTGTTGCACTTCTGAACTGTCCATAGACCAGAGGATATTTTGACACTTTCAGGTCATAAACCGAAAGGCATTGTTATCACCCCGCTTGCAGACGTCTTCCCTACACCAGGAGAATTCAACGCAATGATTAACTCGCTTCCATCAGATCCACCAGACCCTAGTCTTGCATTCATCGAGTCCATCATCCCGGCTATCTCGGAGTTTGAGAACCCAACTATCTCTGGCCTGGAGTTCGATTCAAGGGGCTATTCAACATACATCAGGGTTACGTCTGCTCTTTTGGCGTACTTGGGTGACAACCGGAGCATCGCTAAGGAAAATATGTGGGCACTTCGGCACATACTTATACTTGGCCAATACGCGAACGATGCTTTACGTGTCCCCGCAACTCCAAGTGGATTGTTTGGGCCAGATGTATCGCAGTCAGAACTGCGCAAGCTGCTAGGGAAGGTTCACCAACTTTCCACTTACCTCCTGTCTACAGGCGACGATGGTCTTCACAGTCAGGTTACCAGCGCTTGCATATCTAATCGCGCGACAACTTCATCGGATGCTTTGGCGTCTTTTGTCGTGGACATCGTCAACCACGCCAAAAGGGAGGATGCTGTCAGAGATGCACTAGCGTTGCGCTCGGTGTTGAAGCACCTATTTGCGAGCGCTAGCAAAACAGATTCTGACCAATGGTTGGATCTAGCTCGTAGGCTGGAAAAGACAGGTGCGCCACATAGATCACGTCGCAGTCAATATTCACATAATAATACATATGTAGCGCCCCAAACTACTGTGGCCATCCTTGCCAGCATCACTGAATTTGCTCCGGAACCATCGAGAATGGACCGTTACCGCAACGAGATTGCTTCGGATATCCTGGGAGTGCCTGCGAGCAGAGCAAACACGACAGGAGTCGTCCTGCTTCGTCGTCTTGCAGCGACAGCCCCTGATTCTGAGTCTGACGTGGTGTTCCTGCCACAGCAGCGCGCTGTCAATGTCGTGAAGACTTGTCAAGCTTGGATTTCTTCTGACGAAGATATCGATGAAGATGTGGAGAGTGTGATGCCACTTTTGTTCGTCCATTTGTCCCCGATTTTGCAGAACGTTGCTGGGAACCATTGGGAGTTTATCTTTGATGTGGTTGAGAACAACTTAGAGGTGTGTCAACCAGTCGTAACAAGTCGTCGTCATACTCATTGCTGAGTTACGCCCAGACTTGTTCTTTTGCCGATAGCGCAACACTGACGATGTTAGGGAGATCGCTTCGTCTTATCCTTACTATCCAAGATCTGGTCCTGACCAACAAGCCACTGCGCGCAAGCTGGGATGGGAGAAAAGAATCTATTTTGGCGCTTGTCAAGAACTTGGTATCCATGAAACTTGGTCAGTCTCAACTCAAACCAGTAGAGCACGACGCTGAAGTTGCCACAGATAATACCGATCGCTCTGAGCCACGTTCTCTATGCAGGGAACTGGCACTTGCAGTCATCCAAGGGTTGCCTGATGCATTGATGAACGAGAAAACTCTGCCCGAAGTGATATCTTGAATGGTTTTCGCGTGCTTGTGCTGATACTCGATGTCTAGATGTGTCACTTCCTCACTGATCCTTCCTACGAAGTTCAGCGCATGGGGTACAGCCTTTTGCACAAAGCAGCTCGAAAGCGGACCGAATACTTTGTCATCGAATCTGCTGTTGACACAGAAGACAACGTCAGCGCTGAGATACCTGCTGAACTTCTTGCGATTTTGCAATCGAATCTCGCGTTAGCAGAGGGATTCCACGATTCTGAATCAGACAATGTCGAGATGGATTTGTCAGAACTTTACGCAGTTTCCGGTTATCTACTGGCATGGATGATCATGTTCGATCTATTCATCGATGCTGTGAGTACTGATCTAGGGCTAAACCCAGTATTAGCTAACGCACGCTTCAGTCCATCAAAGTCAGGTCGCAGTACTTTAATCGAATGAGGAGCCTTGGTATCATCGGGGATTTCTTCATCCCTAATGTTTTCGATGTTCTCGATCTGTTCAGTGGAAAGAAGAAGGCATTCAAACTTGATATATGGGCAGTCGATGACTTTTTCATTGAACGTCGGTGGTTCTGTCCTGTATCATGTCTTCAAATTAACTTTCTGCAGACTTCGAGCCCGAGAGCGTGCTCAGCCTACGACTCCTGGCCGCTCATATCTATCATCGAGCGCTTCTGACAGTCCCAGCATTAATACGATCCTGGATCTCAGACTGTTCAGACAGACAGCTGTTATCGCGCGTGGTGGACTACACTGCTTCATACTTCTCACCAGGCATTATCAGAGCCGAGCTTGCGCAAGTGCGGCAGGCTGATCCATCGTCAGAACTATATACAACAGAGAATCTCGTCATCAAAGTGTCACCGAGCGCTGGAGAGGTCACGGCCTCCTACACAGTCGATGATCAAGTGTTGGAATTGTCTCTGAGATTGCCAAACGACTGGCCATTGCACCGACTTGACATCCGTGACACGAAGATGGTCGGTGTATCTGAAGATAGATGGAGAGCTTGGGTGCTTGGGGTACAACAAATTGTTTGGCAGCAAGTAAGCGATATTGCATCGATAAATGCTGGTCACTTTAACGCGTTATACACAGAATGGTCGGATTGTTGACGGTCTAACTGTATTCACGAAGAATGTGACCCTTCATTTTGCTGGTCAAGTGGAGTGTGCAATCTGTTACTCGTACGCAAGTCTCTTGTACGATTGTATCGGTGCTTACTTTGGAACAGGATTATCAGCGTCATGGACAGCAGCCTTCCACAAAAGCCTTGCAAGACCTGCAAGAACCGTTTCCATGCAAGTTGCTTGTACAAAGTGAGTATCGGACAACTCGACCCTTCCAACGATCTAAATTGGTCTCCAGTGGTTTAAAAGCAGCCATTCATCAAGCTGTCCGCTTTGCCGATCTGACATACTGTGAAAAACCATGTCTGGTGTCTCGATAGTGAATTGACTCCGAGGATTAGTAAATGACTCGTACTGATATGAAGGCATTCCGATAGGGTTCTTCCTGTATGAAACAATATCAATAGCCTTTGCATGTCAGCCTCCAGGGCTAAGCTGGACCGGGGGATCGATTATGCTTATTGCGATCAGTGGAGATAAACCACCATGATCTAGAGCGTCCAGCCTAAACACCTGACGAGCAGAAGGTCTCCGAGGGACCGTGCCCATCGGACATGCAACGATCCATAGTGGGCGACCCCGCCGTATTCGGAGTGTCCACCACTATCTTGCCGTCTTAACAGATGTTTTAATACACCTTGGACATTCGAGTCAAAGGGAACCCGGGTATAAATGAATACTTCCCAGGTATCGCTTGTTCTTGCGCTTCTTTCCAGAGTCAGATTAGCTAGCGGTCATGGGATATACTCTGGGTAGCCGGAAATTTGAAATTGCAACTGACTCGAACATGCTTATCTCTGGGTGTCATCCATTTCCCGAAGCTTCGTGCCGTGACGCCGTGTTAGAGTCATACTTGCTTGCCACGGGCGCCTGAGTTAACGGGTCTATTGAGCAATACTTGAAGGAAACCTGACACCAAAGTGCATACGTGACCGACTCCAGTTTCGAGTGCGTCGCGACTCGCGAGTCATCAAGTGAAACTCCAGTCGTTCACATGTGCACTTCCCGCCAGTCGAAACAGCCGCAAGTGGGGCCGGCGTCATTACAAATTTGGCTTATTATTAATGTGATGAGGCGATCACCTGCCGTTGATCTAGGTTGATTACAGCAAACGTTTGATTCTTGAGCTATGTCAACGCAGGCTAGACCATGGGATTTACGCAGGAGTGCGTAAGAAAAACAAAAGGACCACCCTTTTTAGCGGGAGCCTGAGACTGAACGGGAAATCCCGACAGGCACTTTCACTGACTATGGCGGCAGTGGTGCCGTTGATTGGCATGGAAGACGCACAGCTGTATGGGAATGCGGATCTCATCTTACACGACTTCAGCGCTTTATATGCCAAGTTGCCAACGCTGTCAGCTGGGAACCAGAGGGCAGACTGTACTTGTCTCGATGCAGGTTAGTCCCGTGCCGTAGCAGCAGGTTCCCGGAGTGCTCTTGTGATGCCTTTGCTTCTGGCCTTGCGGCTTCCATAATTAGCACTCCGATCATAAAGAGGCTTTCTGTTTGAAACCTCACCGCTTTGAGGTTATCTCCTCATTGTCGGAGCATGTAGGTACAAAGCGTATTCTTCGGCTGTCTATAAAGGTTTTGTTTACCGTTCCAGCCATGTGTTCCTTGCTTTCCTCGCTGCCACCATTTCTCGCACCTCCCGTGGATCCAGATTCCTGTCCATTCCATTGTCCTTTGTCCATGACTACTGCTGCACTCACTTACAGTGCCGATGCGCACATCCAGTCGGCATCCTCAATAACATTTGCCACTCCCTCAATGTTGACACAAGAATTTCATCTTGAAACCGATCCACGTTTCGCGTTCGCGCGCGTGAAGGGCGATATATGTCTAGTCCAATGTGCGTTCTCACCATTCACAATACCTGATCGCAGCCTGATACAATCTACGTAGTGCATCCAATCCAATCCGAGACATCACGCGAATCTTTAGGGATCATCGTTTTTCGTCACGAGTTCGTGTCCATCTTTCGGTATTCCCATGACCTACGCGTGTCCCCCGAGGACATTCGTGTTCTCGAGCTTCTTGACGAAGACCGAATACGCTACGAGGAAGACAACGGCACTGTCTTCCTGGCAAAGGATCTTATGGCTCAACTTCGAAGGATGATTGATGCAAGTAACATGATCAGACTGCAAAGGGGAAGATACCGGGGGTACAGAAGACGGTCAAATTAGGTGGTCGCAGGTGACCAGAGACTCGATATTCATGGTTTGAACAGTACAATATATCACATGTAAGTATTCGCATATTTATGGGCTGGCTAGCTGTGTGTTTGTATACCCTATGTAGCATTATGGTAATTGTACTCGCATCGACGACGGACGCTTGTCCTGATTTGACAAGTTCATCGCAGCTCAGCTCGACCTTCACTAATCCTCCAAGATTGCGATGCGCCACAGCACGGCCGTCCACGTGCGAGACATGTGTCGTCGGCAAACTTTACAGTTGTCGATCGTCGAATCAATTATGCGGAGCGGGTTAGCTGCAAGCCCTAAAGCCGATTGTTGTCCTCCGCAAGAATAGGAAACGCATCACTGGGTTCCGGGTGTGGGGAACGTCAGTATCAATGACATCTTTATCCTACGCAAAAGGGATGTGTGGCCGTTGCGGCCACTTCCTCCAGTATAGAAACCCAGCTCCAAGTGATGGCTCCTCTGAGGTCAGCAGGAGGGGGAAGGAGTAGATATTTACCCTCTCCCAGGCGCAAATCCCGAAAAAGCGATCAGTTGATCGTCGAGGATTTGTGATACCAGAGGGAAAAGCCGAACATCGCCGGTCAGATGATCGTCGAGAATTTGTTATACTCAATCAAGTTGTGTGGCCGGGTCAAAGGCAATCACACGGGAGACAGCTTTATAACGGGTTAAAAAAAGACTACGAGCAAGGACTGCACCGAACGAATGACCTGCCATAATCGGGCTCGCGGGTCCGAGTGCTTAGTGCTCAATCACGGCTTCCTTTGGACACGCGACTTGTCACGGTTTGCCTTGAGAAATGCGATGGACGGTCCGGATGACTTGCTCTAATTCCGCTCTATGGCCCGGACTCAGGCTATACATGCCGGAGACTGACATAATTTTTGGACTGTTCGTCTAGATTTATCCAGCTTCGATAGGTGAACAATACTGGAACGATAATTTGTGGGAACTTGGCGTACCATAATTCTGACCATTGTAAAAGTCTCTTTGAATTCCGTCCTCGACGTTGGCATTAATGCGAGACTGAGAGTGTGTCACATCTCGATGTTCAATTGCATCATATAGCCACGTGAGGAGAACTCTCGATCTTACCAAATGGGGAAGGCCACCCGGTGGTAGTGAACTTTGTCTTCGACTCGACTTCAGCTGTAACTTTGCCTTGCGGTAATTTGTGCGTTACGACTTATGGCATAAATTGGACATGTCATATACGTAAAGTCAGTCTATGGCCTTACCATCTTGAACTCGCAGGGGACAAGGTATTCACCTGTTTCTCAAGGTTCTCTCTCTTTTTGCGGCATGTTCCAACTTGACAGTATAACCCGGTAACTTGTGGCATTTTCGACATCAGCTGAGTATTTCATGCGATTTGATCGATGGTCAACCTATCGTACAGTGGGTTTAAAGCAATAAAATGAATAGAGGCTCAACTGCTTGCTGACTATGAGTAGACGAGACTAGGACGGACAGGCTCGCTGCATTAGGCCACCTTGTACCTGGTGGCTACGCCAAGTAACTTTTGACTGCCACAGCATGCGCCGCATACAAGCAAGGCTGGTTGATATACCCCTTCGTGTTTGCCACATATAGGTCGGGTGTCTGTGGCAGCCCTCCAAATACGTGTTTCGTCATATTACACGTGTCACGCCACAAACAATCTGCCAGATCTCAGAATTCAATACCCAGCAGTAACGCAGTAACGTAAACACAGCATCCTGCCGTACAAGCCCTTTTGAACTGGATCTCCCTGAAATGGCATACTGACACGATACTATGCAACATTTTCTTGTCTTCTATTCTGGTTGCATCCATTCCTTTCTAACATGAAGCGGTAATTTCTTTTGTCCCACACGAAAGTGATTGATGGCATCACAACAATAGGCCGTAAGTGCTGTATCGGGCGGTGCTAACACATTGTCGCAATGATGTCCACCATATGTGATGTCATGCCCTCCATGCATTTCACGTACATTGTTCATATTGGCGGTCGAACGATGTACAGGGTCGTGCACCAGCGAACGAGCAAATGAACACGCTGATTATTCCTCGCGACAACGGTAGACTCCGAGACATTCCCCTGGGCAGCCATGCGCATGTATACTCCAAAGTGGAGGATTACCAATATTAAGCTCAAGCTGTTGGTGCGTCATTCAATCAAGCGCTTCGAGAGTTCGTAGCGTCGTGCTCACACCCCGTTTCATCCTGTACCAGCGCCCCATTCTCTTGGCTATTCGTGGCCGTTTGACCAAGATAGCGAAGGTGAGCGGGCAGAGGTTGTGACATCGACACTAGAACCTGGCTATTGAAGAGTACCACGGATGTGGCATTCTATATCGAGCACATTTTGCAGTGATGGCCCTCCCATTATACCAGTGATTTCGCTAATCCGTGTACTTACAAGTAGTTCAAAGTTTCGCAGCGACAAGAGTCTCCGTCGTCACGTCATGCGTGATTGCATGATCCAGCGTGGAGTAAGTATATACGTCGCCGTTATCGAGTATTCAAGTTGCCGGAAGAATTGAGGCCTCGAAGTTGGCACCAACCAACAAATAACCTGTCTCTTGTAAATTGTAATGTCAAAGGGTAATCGAAGACGACTGACGTACACGTTGATAAGTCCTAGTAAGGATCTGATTTACCCATCTTCTTGTGCAACATTTGCTCGAACCTCCTCGCCAACGCATAGGTAATAACTCCTACCACAAACCCTACGAACACACCAACATCTCCACTGCCCTGCCTCGCTACTGGTCCTACATACCAAGCTTGTGACATGAATGGAACAAGAGCTCCACATGCACACACGAAGGCCACTACCGCGGGGATACCGCTAGGCAAGAGAGCGTATGAAGCCCAAATCGTAATGGGGTATTGGTCCTCGGAAAATGATGCTCGTCGGAATAACATATGCTCTGTGAGTATTATCGCAGAGAATATTGATGACCAATATCCAATGATGTCTGAGAAAGCAGCGTGTTAGCGCTAGCAATAGATATCGATGTTTGGGACATGTACTAAGGACGTCGACAAAGGTAGCATAGAACCTTTTGGCGCCAATAATGGCCACTGGTATGAGGCTTGAATCCAAATCATGAGCATCACTTGGGTTTGCATCGACTGGATGATACTCACATTCCCTCTGACAGGAGGATATATACCCATCTAGGCACCGCAGCAAACCAGGTAGCAATAGCCATGAAACTGTTGCTGAACGTATATATCGGTAGTGCACAGGCACTGGAGATGCTGAGAGCGACCAAAGCAGTTAGGATTTTTCCAAATGCGCCTGTAGGTAGCAAGACGCTGTGGAGCAAACCACCGACAGAAGAGCTGTTATCAAATCCTACGTTCCAAGCAGGCACACTCGGAGCTGCTGCTGCGAATGCGGCACCCAGAACCTGACCAGTCACCTTTTCAAAAGAAAATTGTCAAAATGTAACTGATACGGACATAAAAGGCTTACATTAGATACGAAGAACCCGAGATATGTGTAAATAAAAATTCTCGCACTATCGAAATGTCAAGTAGAGTCCTGGTGGTGACCTGGGAAAGCTCACGAAGAAGCATCGGGGCTATGGTATACGCCATAATCAGGGATCATGGGACACCAGCCAATAATGTTAGATGCGAGAAAGGACGCAAAAGACATGATATTAGCAGGTGTTGCTGGAGGGACGGGAGCCGATAGGTTTTCGCGTAGTTGTGGATAACCGACAGCCAACATGGCGATAAAAGCAATCACATTCGGGATCCAGGCGACGCTTTCGTACCTATGAATCAAACATTCGCTCATATTCTGGATGACTGGCGTTGAAATGTTCCCACCAATGGATGACGCGGTATCCACAGAAAGTGACCTTAAAATCTGTCATTTTTTGCGCAGCAGGAGGAATTCTGACATACCACAAGAGATATGATACCGAGGATGACGATACCAAGAGTATCATCAAGCTGAGAAGACAAGCTAGCTATCGTTTGTCCGCCAATAATGCAGTTCAGAATAAGGAAGCCTTCCAAGGAGAAAACATTCAGAATGGCCGGTATGATGGCACCAAAATACCTTGATATTCGTCAGGTAATGATACCGGCAATCGGAAAAAGTGACTTGCCCCCATGAGAACCTTGCTTGTACCATAGCTCGCATGCCAAGCTTTGGCCCGAAAACAGCACTAGCGCATTATGAGGTCCCTATAAATGTGCAAAGAATAGAAAGACTCACAAGAATCCTGGCAACAAACAACATCTAGCTGAAAGTAAATCGCTGCAGATCGAGATTTTGTGAATTGACTTACACCAGGTCAACAGTGACGATGATAGCTATGGAGTCGCGAACTCCCAGGGAAAAGAATGCAGGGCCAGCGGCTCCACTGCTGAATCTGCAGGTGTTAGATGGATCAGCGAATTGCACCAGAATAGTACTGAAAACGCACCCCAGGATGTTCATGCAAGGGGAGAACCAGATGAAAAATAACTGGTACCATCGAGTGTCGAGACGTTCATCTGCAGGCACCGGTGCGATACTTGTCCAAGAATCAGCAAAAAATGATAAGACAGGTGTCACAACAACTCACCCACGAGTTTCAATTCCATACCTAGAAAGTAACTGAGTAGTACGTCTGATGAACCCTACCTGATCCGAGCGATCATTGTCCTCCACACTATCATCCCTGGTACGCTCAGCATCAGAGGACACACTGGGTCTGGAATGGCAGTTCAACGGACCTGTCCTGTTTCCGCTCCGTCGTGTAAGACTGCATTGAGGGAGTATCGATTGACCGGATTCAGTTTGGTCGACGTGCAACGGCGTCAGTGAACCTGAGTGCCAGATGAGTCGGGCGCCTATTCCTATTAGTACTGAATGTTTTTAGTAGGCGAAAGTAAAGCGAGTGGGATCCGACCCGGGATACTGGCACGTCAAAACAGCATGATCTTTAATAGATCAATCAAGCTTCTCGATCTGTGTCACTCCCAGGGCCTAAGCCTTCAAGTTGGGAACGACGCAGTATGATTCAGTGAACATACCTCTGATAGTAGTAGTAGTACTGCATGTCACACATGTTCCTCGGCCGGAGTTCACGGGTACACCGTGACTCATGACACGTTGATATCGTAAACTAGCATTCAATTGTCATTTCCTATTTTATCTCTTCAATATACACGCATACCGTTTACCTTAAAAACAACTACTACTAGGCATCCGACTTATTCATCTTTTTGTACCACAATTTTTCGAAACCCCTTGCCAATGTGTATGTGATAGCCCCCACCACAAACCCTACGTATACCCCAACATCACCGCTACTATGCCTGGCCACTGATCCTACATACCAAGCCTGCGACATGAATGGAATAAGGGCTCCACAGCCGCACGCGAAGGCCACGACCGCGGGAATACCACTAGGCAAAAGAGTATACGAAGCCCAAGTCGTGATAGGATATTGATCCTCAGAAAACGAGGCTCGCCGAAATAACACGTGTTCTGTAAGAATAATTGCAGCAAATACTGACGACCAGTATCCGATGAGATCTGAAACCAAGGGGTCAACATTTTAGTGATAGTGACAGATATCGCGATATTCGGGACTCGTACCGAGGATGTCAACGACAGTGGTATAGAACTTTTTGGCGCCAATAATGGCTACTGGTATCAGACTTCAGCACAAATAATGAGTATCACAGGAATTCAGGACACTGAAGATACTTACACTGCTTCAGAGATGAGAATATATATCCATCTAGGTATTGCAGCAAACCACGGAGCGATAGTCATGAAACTGGTGCTAAACGTATACATGTTTGGTGCACAAACGCTGGGTATACTGAGAGCCACCAGAGTGATAAGAATTTTTCCAAATGCGCCTGTAGGTAGCAGCACACTGTATAACAAGCCACCGACGGAGGAGCTGTTGTTAAATCCTGCATTCCAAACAGGCACGTTGGGAGCTGCGGCCGCGAATGCAGCACCGAGTGTATGGCAAGCCACCTTTTCAAGATGTTACTATGATGCTGGTAACAGTACGTTGGGACTTACACTAGAAGTGAAAAACGCGAGATACGTGTAAAGAAAAAGTCTTGCACTATAAGGATGTTAACGAGAGCCCATGGGTGGTCTGAGGGAGCTCACGAAGAAGCAGCAGGGCTGTGGTATACACCATAGTCGGGGGTCACGGTACAGTAGCTGATAATGCTAGCTGTGAGGATAGACGAAAAAGAGATAACCTCAGCGACAGTTGCTTGAGAAACAGGAGCTGATTGGTTATCGCGTAGTTGTGGATAACCGACACCCAGCATGGTGATAAAAACAATCACATTTGGAATCCAGGCGATACTTTCGTACCTAGAATGAAAATTGTATCACAATTATATGGATAGTACGTGGTTAAGTGATCCCACCAATGAATGATGCGGTATCCACAGAAAGTGACCTGTGAAGGTTAACATTTTGATGCGAAACCAACAAATTTGACGTACCACAAGAGTTATGACAGCAATGATAACAATACCAAGAGTATCATCGAGGTGAGAAGACAGACTTGCAAGTGCTTGTCCACCAACGATGCAGTTCAGGACAAGGAAGCCTTGCAAGGAGAAAACATTCAAGACGGCCGGTATGATGGCACCAAAATACCTTGATATTTGTCAGGCAACGATACTGGCAATCGGAAAAACGACTCGCCCCCATGAGAACCTTGCCTGTACCATAGCTCGCATGCCAAGCTTTGGCCCAAAAACAGCACTATACATTCATCAGTCCCAAGAAACGTCCAGATAATAATAGTTAAGCTCACGAGAACGCAGGCAACAAGCAGACCCTAGTTATAATTCACACCAGTTTATTGTCGCACAAACTATTGGCACTTACACCAGGTCAACAACAACAATGATGATGATAGAATCATTAACTCCCAGGGAAAAAAACGCAGGTCCCACAGTGCCAGTGCTGAATCTGTAGGTGTCAAGTGACTCAGCAGATAGCAAGAGAGTCGAAAGTTGAGTCAGGACTCAAAACGCACGTCCCGATATTCATATTAACAGAAAACCATACGAAGAACATTTGGTACCATCGAGTCTCTATGCGTTCCTCTGCTGGTACCGGGGCAATGCTGATCCGAGTAACAGACATAAATGCTTTCAAGTTAGACATTGGAGATATCATAACGACACCATCTCACTCACCCATGAGTTTCAATTCCACACCGAGAAAGTGACTGGGTGGCACGTCTGAGAAACCCTGTATAATACTGACCACCCTCCAGATCATTGCCCACAGGCTTATCAGAGGCCAAATCCGGTGTCACAAAACTGGAGCGGGACTCTCCCTGTTTCTGTTCCACAAACTCGGACTGCATTGTGTGAGCTATGATTGACCTGAATTTCCTGCTTGGATGTACGCGTCGTGAGGGTAGTACCAGCTGGGTTCTAGTTGCCGTTATGCCGCAGTTGTCTTGAAGTTTGGAGCATTCTTAAATCGGATCCGGTTTGATGAAAGCATCTCCTAACGACCAATGCTATGATGTCAGCGCTTCTGAGTACCTGGAACCCGGAAGAAACAGGACCGGGTGGCTCACAGGTCAGAAACGCAGCAAGTAATTTTTAAGATCATAATAGTGCATTTACTTTGCAAACGATGATGCGACATACATGCTGACTAAGCTACTAATGAGAGCTCTGTCGGAAATTTCTAATTTTGGTTGGCATATCTTAAAATAGCTTGAAAGGCCTCAATATGTCGGCAGCATTGCGGTCCGGTTGCAAGGGATCCCGAAATCTATGGAAGCTGCTTGGAAGCCATAGGGGCTGTCTTCCAAGACAGTCACAAGATCATTCCAACACAAGGTCCCAATTGAGAAGAGAAACAAAAGCACCCCAGGCCATTGCAAGTCACGTGATATTGCTCCAAGCATTTCAATTCAATTCAAGGACTTTTATTGGGGTTTAACTTGTTTGACCTAGTTGAATCTAGGGATCCACACGGGTACGGGTAACCTGCGTGGGTCATGGGTACGGGTACGGGTCAGAGTCTCGAGTACCTGTGACCCGCGTGGGTACTGCTGAGCGTGCTTACAAATATTTGTGTTCACCACCGCTCGACTCTCATCTCATGACAACCACCAATATCAGCACCCGATTTCCAGCCTTCATAGTGCTGCCGCAGTCCGGTTCCGAACCTCGGTTCGAACCTGAACCTTTCCGAACCGGACGCATGGTCCGGTCCAAGGTTCGGCCAAGACTCAGAACCGAACCTTTCCAGAGGTTCGGGGTTCGGGCTGGTAGTGAATAGGTTCGAACGGGTTCGAACCTCTCAATTTTTGTACGCTTTACACTTTTTTAAAAAGATGTAAGTATTTACTATGTGTCAATATATGCAAATGCATGTGTCTGCAACCCGCGCAGGTTTGAGCCGGGTGAAATTGACGCGGTCCTCTGTCGCGCCTGCCGCAGTCGTGACGCGCTGTGACACAGTACTGCACCGTCACAACATGTTCAAACACTAGGTATCTTATGTCGCTATATGAATTCCAAACACTTTGAACTCTTGCTAATGATTAATATAGGTAAGTACTACTTGGGAATGTTATGAGCCATGCTGATCAAAGTCGTTGCTTATTGTTCGCAGGAAGTGAGTATGTCAAGATTTTCGAGCTCGAACCATTCTGATCCAAATCGTTGGCGGACCAGGCCACCGTTCCTCGTTCGAACAAGAGCCGTGCTGATCCAAGACGTTGGCCACCGTTCGCAGGTCGTGAGTGTGTCGATCCTCGTTCGAGCAACAGCCATGCTGATACAAGTCGTTGCCCACCGTTCGCAGTTCGTGAGTCTGTCGGTCTTCGTTCGAGCTCAAGCTATGCCGCAAGTTACCGTGTTCATCCTCGAGGGTCTCAGGTGGAGACCTGTCAGGGGTAGCTGATGGGATTAGTGTCACAGTGGCTGCTATTGGAGGTACGTCTTATTTCAGTTGTGATGATGCGATAATGGACGACCACCTTTCACTACAGGCTTTGCGCATCGCGCGACGATGCAGGTCGTGTGCGCGGTGATCACTGATCTCAAGTTTTTCACTTTTGGTTTTGGCCGCCGGTGAGTGGTATCGTTCATCTTTCCACCTTTTCTCATGCCTTACTTGAAAATACTAGAGTGTGTCCTGGTCAACATGTCGCGAATCGGTCCATCTTCATCAATACGGCTGTTATTCTCTGGGCTTTCCGCCTTTCAGAGAATCCTGCAGCGAAGATTGACACGCTTGCAATCTCGAATACTGCAACCGTACATGCTGCTGCGTTTGAGATATGTTTAGAGAAGAGGATCGATGAGAATGTGATCAGGGAACTATGTGCACCGGGCAAATAAAATGTGTTTATTTTAGAAACTTGAATTCAATCTTTGTACAAAGAAGTTCTCCTTGCGTTAGAGTCTTTTCGTTGTCTGTCCGACTCGAATTACATGACAACTCATGGTCTCGAGCCTATACAACCACAGATGGTCCAAGCTTAGTCGAACCTGGTTCGAACGCGAACCGGACCCTCCCGAACGCGTTCGGTGACGTTCGGTCCAGGGTTCGACCAAATGGCTGAACCGAACCTATGGTTCGGTTCGGCGTTCGGAAAATTTGCCCCAAGAACCGAACCGAACCGGACTTCGGCAGCACTAAGCCTTCAAGCTAATTCTTGTAGGGGTGTAGTGATTGGGTTGAGGCTCTAAGTGGCAAAGGTGCATTTCTCGCTGCTCTCACTCTCTCGCTTGCTAATCTCAGTCATTCGCTGCTCGCCCATTCACTCATTGCTCTCAGTCATTTGCTGCTTGTTCCAGGTGCACATTTTTTCTTCTTCTTGTTTACTACTATATTTAAATTTACAGTGCGCTACTACCACCACTCGTACCCTACTACCACCACTCATGCCCTACTACCACCACTCACACCCTACTACCACCACTCGTGCCCTACACTGCATCCTACCCTCCTTCCACTCTTCTGGCGCTCTCCAGTGTCCTCCGCATATGTTCGAGCCATGTCAGCATTCACTGATGTGCGCCAGGCGTGTGCGCTAAGCACTGGTGGCTGCTGGGATTGGGTGGGGGCAGGTACACCTGCCATGGGTATGCACCCGCACCCGTACCCGTACCCGTGTCCACAGGTACATACCCGTGGCAGGTACGGGTATGGGTTGACCTCGAGACACCCATGGGTTTACCCATGCGGATCCCTAGTTGAATCATTCAGTGACGCTGGTCAAATCCAATCTTGTGACTCAGCCTCACAGCTTACACAATTGAAGGCCTCTCTTTCAACAGGTATATATGTCTTGCTGACGAGTGTGGATTATTCTGTCGTCACTCAGACTTGCCCTCACATAACACCGTCTGCACTTTTAAGCTAATATTTAAATCTTCAATTTGATCATTTCATTCATGTCCACTGAAAATGCCAGTACAACATCACAAACACAGTTTGTCAAGATTATGTGTGACGAGGGAGCAAACTAAAAGATTGAATTAAATCTCAGTCTCTTGTCAGTAAGGACAGGACTGAGATGTTCATTCTACGATGACATGATATATATCCGCTAACACTGTCTCATAGTTGGAATAGCCCCTATGGTGGATCTTGATATGCTACAAGCAATTTCTTGAGTGATTCTCAGGGGTATTCAATAGGTTTGATGTCTTGGGTCTATGCTGAACATGATAGAATAGTAATATCATGGCCTGCAAGCTATTGGTGGCTGATTTAGAGGTATATTTAGGGTTATTGTTTTATCACAAAACAGTATCCTCTTCATTAACTCATAACTCCTGCATGCTTCTTAGTAGACACTCCTGTCAAATGAGTATTCACTACTTTGTATTCATCCTCCCCTTTGCTTCATAGAGAATTCTTACTCCATTTTATCTCATATAGTCCTATACCATCAAGTTTTCTTCTTGAAACTTAAGTGTTTATTCAACTTTTCTTTATTTTAATAGTTGTCCTATCTATGTTAATACAAATACATGGCTATATGATCTCATCCTATTGATTTTAACCTTATTCAACTTGATAAACCTCTTTCAGCTATTAGCAGTCCAGTATTTGTACTTTAAAGTAGCATCTTATCTTTTCTTTTTATAGGTTGGAGACAGAAGAATCTCTTTTCCTTGATTATAGCTTTAAGATGGGCTGTCTTGAGGATCTGTCTGACTATTTGAGTAGAGATAGTCATAGAGATGATGGAAATAATCAATCGAGTCACTTTAATAGCATCAGCAGCCTTCCCAATTAGAATATAGTGATTAAGAGATTTTAAGTCTTATAGAGCAACCCTCTAGATTAGCTACCAAATAACTTAAGGACCATAATATTACTATTCTATCATGTTCAGCATAGACCCAAGACATCAAACCTATTGAATACCCCTGAGAATCACTCAAGAAATTGCTTGTAGCATATCAAGATCCACCATAGGGGCTATTCCAACTATGAGACAGTGTTACAGCAGAGTATGATGGAAATACCAAAGAGAAATACCCAAAATTGATAGAGAATGTGTCTAGAAGAGTGGCAGAAGTGATTAGGGAAAAAGGAGGTCACACAAAGTACTAAAATTATAGAGATTACATTAGTTAAACTCAAAGTCAAAAAGTGTTCCAATGAGTCATCAAATTAAAATAACCATATCTTCACATAATGTCATTGTTTTCCCACGGTATACGGAGCCGAAATGAAGCTGAGAAGCAGACCATTTGACACTTTCCTATAGCTTAGTCATATTCCCACGTCTCGACACATAATATAGCAATTACATGAAAAGCTATAAACATTCGGACACTTTTTTGAGCCACTGTAAGTCACCCAGTTAAATTAATCTCCAGGTCCTGATCACCACTTCTAGCTCATAGATACAGCAGTATCGACAGAGGACCTAGGAGGAGAAGATCTTGGGGTTAGTGAGGTCACCACAGGTCTCCAAGTTGACGATGGATGGAAGGCTCTTGACGGAATTCCTTGCATCATGGGTGGATTAACAGCGCTTGTTGGTAAGTTTTGTCACCTCCCTCATACACCAATCTTGACTTTCTTCTAGCATCTGTTGGCAGCACCCTGCGTGGACGTGCCCAAAACAACTTTCCCTGGAGAACCCTACCTAAGGAACTAGCCCGGCTTGGATATTTCCTCATAGACTACCGACAAAACTCTGATGCCTGGCGAGATTTGACCTTCCCTCACTCGGTCCAAAGGTATCCATGATTTAACCATCCCTCACTGCAACAATCTTGTCAATGCACTCAAGTCAGGCACCCTTACCATCTGAGCCATCTCAAGTGACACTGCTCACACACGCCTCATCATGTCAAAAGACCCTATCATTATTGGGGAGGCACCCACACATCGCTCATTCCACCCCCATGGGCGACGTGCATTCGCTAATGGTGACTTTGGCTGAAATGGACCTCCCCATCTTGCTGCATTTCCTACTATACCTCTCACTTGTCATCATGTTGAGGTCTTCGTAGAGATCTCACACCTGCCACCCCGGCCAGCATCTAGAGCAATTTCATGCCCACCACCCCAGCCAGCCTCTGGAGCGATCTCACGCCTGCCACCCTGGCCAGTCTCTAGGGTGGTCCAAAGCACAAGACGTTCATCCATTACTCACGCAAATGATCTTATCCCGCTAATAACTGCAGTTGAGCTCTGAGTATGCTGACAAATACATCTCCAGATGAGCAGGTACATGTTAGAAAGAGTGGTCGTCACCCTGTCAAGCGTCCCAGGTATTAATAGCAAACCATTGAGTTTTCAAATAACATACTAGATAGCGCATTAGCACCACAAACCATCAAAATTAGACTTTGATTCCTGACATAGAAACTCGGTTGTAGGAAACTTATCTGCATGACCCGACCTCCAATCTAAATATAGCTTATATGTACTTCCTGTGTGAAGTTCCCATGCACCTACAGCTCCTCCCACATTTAATCCTGCAGGCTCTGGTAGTTCGGTGGCCCTCCCACACTTAATCCTGTAGGCTCTGGCAGTATACTTGATAGTCTTGTAGGGTCGCCTGGTAGGCTTAGGATGAATTATTGGTATGTTTCTATACATGTAAACATTAATGAAAGTACTTGGTACATATGCCATCTGCATAGTCTTGGTGTGCATCCTATCTTCTTGTCATGGTTCTAACTAATTCCTGCAATGTTTGCAAAGCTCAACTTGTATCCTCTGGCCTTGGGCAACACATTGTGAGCCCAAGGAAAGCCAGGGATAAAAGAAAAACTCAAACACTGGTTCAGTTACCTGGTGCAAACCTCAGGTGTTGTTACCTCCTTAGTCAAATGCAACAACTCATGGATCCGACATCCTTACCAACAGGACATTCTCCTAGTACCATGCTGGGTGGTCGCTTAGGTGAAGCAGACAACACAAACATACTCAATGACTTGGATTTTGTGGATCTCACAGACATGAAAGTTCAAGTGTCAGAGGAAATCACTTCTCATGGCCCCACAGAGCTGGAGACCTGTCTGCGCAAGCAGTGCACTATCCCTGATAAGTTGACAGATGCATTATACGCCAACTGGTAAAAGCTCATACCCACCCTCATCGATCCACAATTAAAGTATCATGCTAAAACTCTTGGCCAAGCCTTGGAGATGATGCATGATGTAATCTCAGCGTGCGCTACTCTCTCGTGCGCTTGCAACAGTACAAGTATACTATGTTTATTCTTTGACAGTAAGTACTGATTCTTTTGGGCTATCGCATGATCTAACGAATGTGTAATATGTTGACAGGATTCGTATCAATTGATGTACTGAGCTGTGGATGCTCCAGCCTCCCGCAGGTCCTTCTTCATCATGGGCTATTCCCTACTGCACCCTCACAACCTCGCATGGAAATCTCTGTCGATCTACTGTCATTTTATCGTGCACTTTTTGAGTGTTCTTGTGATGCCATCAATGCTCTTGCATCCACGCTTAAAACCCACTATTCATGTCAAGGGTTTCAAGTGACCGATGCATGGGTAAGCCATATTCATATTACTGAACTACATTACAGGGTGACCTTGTGCAAGACCCCTTTCATTGTGGTCTAGGCTATGCCGTACAATGGTATGATGTCCTGCAGGTTGAAATTGAATGCCAAGTCGACACTGTTCTCCAGCAAAGTTGAGACCGTGTGGCCAGTATCCAACCCCAGCGACATACTCCATCAAATATTGAAAGTACGGCTTCAACTGTCCTACAACGTGGCCGATGTGCACCACTCCTTGTACAATGATGTCCGGCATGCTTTGGTGGCACGCTGTTTGGCAGGCCCATTAGTGAAGGCGGAGATATACATGTTGCTACAGATGGTAACTTTTATCATCGCCACCGCTGTTCTGCAGGTGACTGTCCTCGCTTCTATGAGCTTACTTACTTCCTTTCAAAACAATTTGTTGACACAGTTGGGTGTCAAATTGATGCACAATGTAAGCGACCTGCAATGACCCACGCCTCCCTCGTTCCTGATGAAGCTATTGACTTATGCGAGAATGCATATGAAGCTGCTGATGGGAAAAAACAGAAGGCTGCAATGGACAGCTTCGACGATATGGGGATAATGGCCCTTATCTGCCGTCATGATATTCCACTTTTTTTTGCCAACATTGATTCGCCTGGCGAGCAACAGAAGTATTCTGTTGCATTGATTGAACACTTATTCATGCTGCTCCCCCCTCAAGCGACAGTCACAACTCTCTATGATGTTGGCTGTGTTCTTGCATGGTCCCTTTCAAAGGTAATTCCGAGATTTTAATTGCATTCATTCGCTAATCCTGTATAGTTCGAGATTCTCCCCCAGGATCTTTTATCACACCTGTGCTTCGCAACTATGGCCATGAGTGGGCCTGTCAGCAAGTGTACAATCCACGGATGTGCATTAGCCTCGGATTATCTGATGGTGAAGGGACTGAGCGATTGTGGTCACAGTTTGTCCGTTTTATAGGTGTTGAAAGGTCGTCATCAGTATGTTACATTGTATTGTACCCTGATAGAATATACTTAAATTTGATTTGTTTAGCGTCAGTGCCATCTATGGTTAATTGATCGTCAAGCAACTGTGATTGGAGCTGAAATGAAAGCAGACCTCGGGGATTGGATCAAACATCATCTCAAATGGGGCATCAAAGACCAGGCCTCTGCAGCACTTGATGTTATCAACCGCAGTGAAACATCCGTCGAGGACCTATGAGTTCAATGGGCCAACCAACAACAATCCCAGCTCTCAATTCGCACTTGTGAGTACTCCTACACACAATCAGTACTAGTTATGTTAAAGACATCTTCAGATGCTCCTGCCCGCCTCAGGAAAGAGTTGGACACTGTTCTCACCCTACAAACTGATTTAGACATTTTGGACCAAGCCTTGCAGGTTACAAGGACTATGCTGGAGAAGGAGGCACCATCTGACAACACTCTTGATGTCCTGGAGAGCCTACAGAGAGGTCACGATCGTCTGATGACCAAAGTTGAAGCACTTTATTCTTCTCTCAACATTCACAATAGATTTCCCAAGCTAGATGGAGTCAATCTTGACTTTGTTTGTGTCCTTCTTATGGCATGCGATCTTAAGATGAACATTCGGAAACATGCTATTGCCAGCTTTTTTGAATGGGACAAACTTGACCGTGCAGTTAGTGTTGCCACAGCTTTGGCTAGTGCTGGCTAAAGCTGACTCTGATTCTTGGGCTTGACCAAAACTCACAAGTCACACTGCTTACATAATCAAAACTCAGTCCGGCTTATACAGCCACAGCAAGTAGCTGCAAGCTGGCTCAAGCCTGTGTAGATAATTTTAGCGTAATTGAAATTTAGAAATGTTACATCTTACTATCGATCGATTATCGACAATCCAAGTAAATGACTTAGTTCCCAAGATTCTTCACATACAACAAAAATGGCACCCCAAATGGCGGTACATTGTACCTTTGTGATGTTTGGATGTGTGTTAAGTCCAAAAATAGGTCCGTATGGCACACATCACCAAAGCCAAGCAGGTGATGGCAAGGAATGCAGAGATGTTGGGGGAGATGAGAGGTTTGCAGGATCGAGAAGTGACATTTGTTTATGTGTCGGGGCATCCGTCGAGGTTTCAGGTTGCATTGGTGAAGGTACTCGGGTTCAGGGTCCGAGAGAATGAGTGAGTGCATTCTACAGCATATCCTAAAGATGATTGCGATCCGACCTGCACCATTCAGTCAGCATACCCCTTCTATTACACCAACAGGATATCACTGACCTTGATTGGGTTCTCTGGATCCTAGTTAGCGAAGAGGCCTAAGGTACTCTGCCGGATGAGGTCGACATATTTTCATTCTGCTCTCACAATGTTAGTATGTTGTCAATAAACTTAGGAGATGATTATGCATACCATGGATATAGAGTGCTTCCATTGTGCAACACGAAGTTATCGACCTCATGTGCCTCAAGAAGCAAAGCGTGCATAATAAAAGAGTGTAGGAATTTTGCAATGAGACAAACAACTTGTTCCATGCCGATTGCAATGAGAGTACTGACAATGAGCATCAGTTCACCCTCGATGATAATGGGATCGGTAGCCTGAGCCACATGTGTGTTCTGCTTTTTCCTGGTGTTCAGTCAGCTTGGGGCCATGAGCCAAACATGGTCGGTCTAACTTGCCTTGAAGGAAGAATTTTGATATCTTCTTCTGTTATCATTTTGTTTGAAGTGAGCATGGCACAATCACATCCATAAAGCAACAGGCAAGTAGCAAGACATTCTCTGATGAATGTCGATGCACTTCAATCATGTAGTCAGTAATGAGGCAGTATAAGTAGTAGTATCCGGAAACACACCATGAAGCATTGTCACTTGAGGATCAGAGGGCACTCTTGATAGCAGGCTGTAGGCTGGCGATCATAGTTGAGATCGATTTCTGTAAATCTTGTCAGCCCATAGACTTCGTCCACACAGACATTAAGGTGGCTTCAGCGAAGACCGAGGCCTGCTTCAAAGTCATGAGGCCTTTCTGTGACAGCTCACTGTACTCAGCAAATATTGGTATGTTAATGTCTACACCCGAACAAGCAAATAACCTCAGCCAGCGGAGGCTATACAAAAGTCCATTTCCCTTAGCCACCCATCAAACTATGCCCCATGGATCAGATAGCTTCACTACGTGCCCATTGGCTTGCGCAAAAACCTGGTTGACAAATGTGGTGTGGCGAGATGCATTTTCAGCTGAATTTCGATTGAGGAGATGTTGCAGAATTGGAAGAGACTTTGGATTAATGAGCATCAGTCGCCAAATTAACAAGTATCACATCCCGTACTGCTGTATCGAGCACCTCAGGCTCGAGTGTCTGAAGCCACATGAGAAATAAATCATCAAGGACTGTGAAGCTGACTGAAGCTCTGCACAGTCTTGTGATAAAGTGCAGTGATCTTTCTGCGGTCAACAATGACTGTCAGGCTTCCAAATTAGTTTGCAAACTATATGTTCATAGGAGCACAAACTCCGTGTGCATTGAGACATGAGCTTTCGTGACGAGAAGCAATATCCTGGATAATATCAGACAATAATTGGGCATCTGCAACAAAATCTTGATCATGCAGTGCTAGAAGCCATTGGGCAGCATATCTTGAAAGCAGACAACGCCTGGCTGCAACATAATCTCCACCATTATTGGTGGAACTACTTGGTGCACGATGCACATCATGAGTGGTTGGCCACACGGGAACATCAAAACCGCTCCTAACACCTGGGAGATTAATCCCTTGTGGGATGAAGTCACAAGCAAGAGAACAGGAACACCCACCTGACTTCGGGAAGTTGATGACTCTGAAAAAATTGCAAGGTTTTAAATCGTCCAAGACATGAGTAGGCACACTTACCTCCAAACTAGCTCATGCCATGCAATATGGCAATGAAAAAAAACTCAGCTGACTTGGACATCTATGTCGGCCTAAGCCAAAAATATAGTCAGCTGGGTCATTGTCCGTCAGCACACCATCGGCATTCATGAACCTCTCTGGTATAAATGTAGATGCGGCAGAGTACCGATTTTCATCCCGTGAAATGCTCCTGCAAATATAATGTCAGCATGATCTCAAAACCTGGAGAGAATGTATCTGACCACATGTTGTACATGACAGTCACTCCTGATGTATGATGTTACCAATGATTTGCTCATTAGACAAAAACGGCGGACCTTTTGGAATGAAGTGACCCTCATATATATCATCACTTGAGGTGGCACGTGGCGCTATAATATCATCTTCAGTGCAGGCTTGATCCTTCAGCGAAGAATATTACCGAGAGGTACGGCAGGCTGCCATCGCAAAGTCTCCCGCAGAACTGATTCAACATATGGTAGTGACACTCTGTCTTTGAAGGTAGGTAAGCGATCCCGCCCAACCACTGAATCAATCTCCGCTTGTGCATGTTTTTGAACATGTGGGTAAGATACCATGGCGAGAGCAAAAGCCATCAAGAGAGTAAAGGTCAGGACTCAGGACAACATCAGAAAAGTAATGCCACTCAACACATGTGCAAGTGTTGCGGGGAAGTGAAAATACCGCCCATAGTCTCAACAGTCCGCCCTGAAACTCCTTGCTGGCAATCACAACGTGTTGATATCAGAGATGGTTGGGACTGGGTCGAGTGAAGCGCACACTGTCAGCTGGTCACTGTGTGGCTGGTGAGAAACAAATAAAGCATTGAAATCAAAATCAGCACAACAAAGAGCAAGATAGTGCAAACAACAGGCGAGAGGCAAAACAGTAAATGCCAGACAGAAAAAGTCATAGGAGTAAGGGTCACTTGTCATAGATGATAGCAGTGTCCTCGATATTGTCACACTCCTCCTCTGTGATGGCTCTGAGAAGAGCGTCATTTGCACTGTGGGTAGATGTCAAAGGCTCGCTAGAGCCCATGTCATATACCACCCCATGTTCCATGTCCCGTTGAGAGGCTGCCCAACCTTTCGTAAAGTTAAGCTGTTCTTTCTTGAGGAAAAACTTGACCATCTGCAATGCTTCCATCAAAACAGGACTGAGGCGATTCCTTTTCTTTGTATGGGTTTCGCTGCTGGATGAAAATACTTGCTCGCACGGCACCACAGAGGCTTGTACTGGAGCGTAGTCCATGGCAATTGAGAATATAGTCGGGAATATAGACTGTGAAGCCTAGTCAACAGCTCGTGGTTAATGAAAAGGGTGTGACTTGAAGAGGTAACGGACTCACATTCTAGAACACAAGTATGTCTGTTCCATGAGGACTAAGCGTAGCCATAGCATAAGCAGTGAACTCCTGATCTACTGTTTGACCACCACCGTGTTGATGCAGCACATGTGCATGTGCCATGGGAAGTCCATCGTGATGTGAGCCTAGTGTGCGTGGCAGCAGTCGTGGGGCCACTACAGGTTGAGAATGTGCAGGATCAGTGTTTTCCGCTCTTTTGCTATGCATCTGCAGAAAAAATCAATCCAATGTCATGCATTTATTTACAACAGAGACATACCAGCTTCAAGATAAACTCATTGGCTTCAGTAACACAGTCCTTCTCCCATAGATTGTCCATACAAGATGTCCGCATTGCAGGGTCGATAACTATGAAAGTAATCATGAGATCAATATTTATTAAAACAAAACACGGGACTGACACATAGCGACAGAATAAGCATGTGTCACACTCATCCGGTCAGTGTATTTGCTTGCCCAGGTTAAGCCTATGTCGACGATAGGCTTACAGTGAGGTATATGCTGGCCAAGAGACTCCCAGCTATTGATCAACTCTTCAAAAGTTGGAACAGCACGGCTCAGTAAGGGAGTGTTTTTGCTGGGTGGCGTGTGGTGCCTGATATGAAATGTTAAATTAGATCACGAGCTTTGAACACATCAGTACTTACCTCCAAGATCACTTCCAGGTCCTGAAGGAACTGCCAATCAACATCACTCAATCTTTTGTTGGATATGCTGCATTGAGGCCAAGCATCAAAAAGGCATTTACCGCCTGAGCCAGTATTAGTTTATGATGTATGTTTTATGATGTGCAATCTTACCTGCTGCAGTGTCCGCAAACAGTTAATCATGACATATGCCAAGTCCCATCTAGTGGGCTCATTGAGGAGGAGTTCTACGACCGGGAGCTGTATAGAGTCACCCTTGTCATCTCGAAACCAACCATCCTCATTACCATTAAGGATGCAGTCACGAAACCTGTCGCACCGCTGATTTGATGCACGGATCAATCACACAATTGTCCTGGCTCGCTCGAGAGGCTTGGTTTGCATGGCCTGGACATAATCGACTTTCTCGATAACCTGATCTTCAATTGTCCATGTATCAGACACAGTAGAATAGTCAGCAGGAGGGTATTCATCAATGATATGCTTCACACATATGTTTATCATGTGCAGGAAACACGGTATCCTGTGTTCAACCGGATCAAAGTGGATCCTGCATTGCCCAAGTAGTGTAGAAAGCTCCTGCATTGCGGAATGATTGTTGGCCACATTGTCAAGAGTAAAATGGCCAGTCTGAACAATGTGAGAGCATGCAACACAATACAAATGAGTACCAACCTTAGCTGTAGTTTCTGCATGATCGAGGAGATATAATATCATGGAACCAAGAGATTGACCATCGTGATTTCCTGGGATGTGGTGGAAAGCAAGGAGGGCCGTCTTCAACACAAGCATTGAACCTTGATTGGACCTGGCAATCCAATGAGCTGTAAGAGCCATGAACGGCCGGAGCTTTTGATCTGACCACAGGTCAGATGTGAAGCAGACTTTTCCCTGAGCATTCTAAAAGGAATAAGATACTTTGTAGGATGCTTGGCAACTATACACTTACAGCAAGATCTTTCTTCAATGCCAGGAAGTATTCCTGCCATTGCTCGATGACCATCTCACGAGCCTTCGTGTGATGAAATAGGCCAGTCTCGCCAATATCCAGGCACAGGAGACATATGAGGCGCCGAAATTCAGGGCACTCAATCACATTTATTGCCTGGAAGCAATTATTAATAGTGGCTGTAGGCATAAACTGCGACTTACTTGATCATCGGCAACAATAAACTTCACAATTTGATGATGCATTTCATCAAGCATGAAGTCCGGAATTACATCGTGTGGAGAGCCAGCTCCTACCAGCAATGCATCAGTTCCATGGTTAGGGGGGGGACCAAGTGATTGCATTGTGCAAGGCGATTTCTTGAGTCATTCGCGAATTGTCATCAGTGACCAGCCCTCAGCTACTCATTCGTTTAGATCCTTTATCTGTATGCGCCAGTCAAAACGCTCTGCTGCTTCCAAATAAAGTTCAGTGTGATGAGTGGAAGCATGTGTGCGGGGAGCTGTACTGGATGTGGAGCCTGCACATACCATGACCTTGTGCGTTGTGTCGATATTATGCAGTGTTCTGGTGATGGGTGTGAGAAATGATGAAAGATTGCAAATGCGGTACTCACTCACAAGGGATGCAAGTTTTGCTCTTAGTATCGGAGTCAATCCAGTAGAAGTGAGTTATATCAGTTGGCCCTTTAGACTGCTTTAGATTGCCAGTGGCCAAAGGGTCAGTGCAAATAGTGCTATGAATGGTCTGGAGTGGGCTCGGATTAGAGCCTGCAGATGCCATAGTGACGATGGGCACAGGAAGATTTTCTGGTTCCTCTTCATCCCCTGAGACATTGTTGAGGTCAAAGACCTCACCCTCATCTGGACTGGTATGAGCTGCATCACTGGTTCTGTATCTAACAGGAAGCTGTCGCCGACGGGAGTTTTGAAGGGTAGTGGCATTAGCTGCAGCAGCAGCAGGGATCACAGTGGGAATAGTGGTAGGGATCGTGGCAGGGATAGCAGCAGCAGTGGAGAAATCAGCAGCAGCAGGAATAGCAGCAGAGGCAGTGGGGATAGCAGTAACAGCAGGCCAGGCAGCTGTCCGCCTCTTGTTCTGCCCGCATCGTCGACCTTGCATTTGTGGTAGTAGTGTTGATGATTTGATGACAGAACTGTCTGTCTATATAAGTGTTCTTTCCGGGAAACCCCAGACAAGGCCAATGTATGCGAAGCTCAATAGTAGTGTTGATGATTTGATGACAGAACTGTCTGTCTATATAAGTGTTCTTTCCAGGAAACCCCAGACAAGGCCAATGTATGTGAAGCTCGAGGGCGATATATTGCAGGTGACAACGTAGTGGAATGGGGCAGGGCATCGATGAAAGGTCATTCATGCAGCATATAATAGCCTGTATGGTGGTGATATGAGTTATATGATATGAGAGAAGCGAACAGTAAAATCACGATGTACAAGTTTGGCACCTGTCGGAAGATTGACAGGGTGTGGGCGAAATTGGTCTTCTTCGTCTTGTTTTTTATCAATAAAAGCTTGCAAAGCACTATAATTTGGTGGGGGTGAGGGTTGGGGGGGAAAATCTCACTCAATGAAGGACATACCTGGAGACTAAAGTGAATTTTATCCATGCGGCTTTCTAGATTGCCATCATATAGATAATAGCTTGAGAAACGAACAGCTCACCTTTATCCTCAGAGTTTCAATTCAGAACCCAGATCGTAAGGCAGTAAAGCCATCCACCACAAGGTTAGTGATACATTTAGAAAAGGTCCCCCATGAGGTGTTGCATGTAGGTGCGGATGCACTACCACTCCTCAATTTTAATCACTGCATGATACAATCGATACAGTCTAATGATAAGAATTAGCTAGATGAATCAACCATTTTACCTCGCACAGAAGTCGAATCGCTGGACAGTGGACACTACCACTTGGTGATGCAACCTGTTTGAAAACAATTCAAACCTTCAGTGGCGGATAACCATAAGTTCTAACGAGACCCTCACCTTAGCGATCTTGTCTGATCAGCACGAGAAAATGCAATGGCAAGATTGGTGGTGATTTTAAGTGTGCAAAGATCAATAGCTGCGGCTGCTGTGCACTAGTGTGAGTCTGTGCAGCATGTTGAAGGGAAAATAGTCCCATGCTGAAAGCAGTGCACAATTACACATGATGCATTGCTGCCATTGCAGTACACTATTTCTAACATCTGTAAGGACAAAGAGTTCAATCCTGCAGAACCAATTTGTGTGACCCTTATAATATATATTATATACTGTAGTCTACAACAGTCACGATTTCTGCTGTGGAGTTGATGGAATTGACGTAGCACACCATGAAGAGCCATTTGTATGCGGGCGTAACCTGCAAATAAGTTATACTTTGGTTCAAAGATATGAAAGAAACATGTTACTCACACATGTGTTGATCAGCATACTGCCTTGGGCGGGCATATTGACATTGCTTTGGCCATACAGTGCTGGTCAGGAGATAGAGGGGGGTGTATGGCAGGACAGCAAGGAGTCCCAGGACCATCGGGTTGGCCAAAATCCAACAAGCACATAGCCGGTGCAGGAAATGTGGCACGAAGACCGTGTAGTAGTGAACGAAGATGATCGTAATCAGGATCTTCAGCGAATGCAAGAGAGCGGGTGTAAATAAGAATGTTTGCAAATTTGACGGGGATGTCATGGCATATTTCTGCAATGGTAGCGTGTGCTTTGCGCTCGAGTATGGTAGAGCTGGATAATTTCTCATCATCACTGGCTAGCCATGGAAGCGAGCCACGCAAAAAATAGATTAGCATGTAAGTGAGCGACTCAAGATTGTCACAGCGACCTGGCTCAACTCCTAGGTGATTATTGATTGAGGCGAATGCAGGAGTACCAGAGAGACTTCAACCATGGTGAAATGGTACATGGTCACTGGTTTTAGTGTTCCAGTATGTCTTCGTGATTCCAAAATCGATGATATAGGTGGTGTGCCTCAAATTTCCGAGACCCACCAAGATGTTCTGCAGCTTAATGTCTCTGTGAACATAATTGTGTGAGTGGATGTACTCAAGATGCAAGAGCTGGGAAAGTCAGGCAACCTATCTGCAAAGACCTTGGACCAAATAACTGACCAACTGGACTCCAAGATTGACAACATTGAGAAGGCTGAATCTTCGATTGTTCGTGAGGAAGAGTTGGTGGAGTGACAGCCCAAGGAGTTCAAGGACCAGAACATGATGCACTGACTCTCTATCAAACCAGAAGGTGTGTGGGATGCCAACTCCGCCTTCAAGTTGTTTCAAAATATAGTATTCATGCTCGACAGAAGATGAGTGGTTGACAATGGTTTTGAGTTTGAGGGCAATGTGATCATCATTGATGATATTCCGCACAGAATATACGACAGCTAAGTTGTACAACATAAGTGAATCTGAACCAGAACAATAAATTTGACTACATGCCATACAAGCCAGATCCTAAGACATCTCCCAGCCTAAATCTCCCATTTACTCAAACCAGGACCTTATGCATGGTAACTTACAGTGGATCCAACCGAATAGTGGGGACATGTTGGAGAATGAGTTCACAATGCAAGTGATGCAACGAACGCAACCCCCTCCAGCTGGCTTGAGGCCAGCTCAAGCTGTTCTTCCCACATTCTTGGCTTGTTGCAATTTGCGCCAGTTCAGGTGCCTTGTGGACCAGACCAAGTTGTACATGAGTAACTTGGTTCATTGGAATCGCCGAACTGCTGTGAAATTGGTAAGAGCCGAGCCACAACACTACTACGTGCAGTAGGCAGATCACAGCAAACATTAGGTAAGTCTTTGCATCTGGCTGTTCCTTCATTCTAATGTTGTTTTTCAGGGACAAAGCTTCATCAACACACATGTAAAGCCATTGCCAAGCGCCAACCAGCTCTCATGACAGCAATTAGGAAGTTTAATTCATACTGTGAGTAGCTAGATCACTATATGATCTGGTTTGGAATATCCCCATCCCCACCCCCCTTCCCACAAAATTAGCTGAATTACATGGTGACCAGACATTAATGCAAGATGTCTGGGTCACACCCTCAATGGGAGAGGTGCCTCAATGGCTCGAAGACTCAGATATCCGGTGTAGAAGAGGAATGGGAAGTGGGTGAATATAGGTGGTATGAGATAACTCAAGTAGTCCTCGGTGAGCGAGATATATGTCGGCCCAAGGGGATTGCTACAGAGAAGGTTCCTCTAAGTGTATAAAATGGAGGGAAACATTGAACCGGGCGCTTGGTCAAGCCTGGTAAGGCGCGCGAGCGAGCAAAAGCGACGTGAAGCGCTGATGGGCGATAGCGGCCGACGATAGATAATGGCGCGTGACTTATAACGGAAGCGCGTGCTAAGTGGGAGTGGTGGGCGTGCGGGTGGTGGAGCGCAGCGACTCCTTAATGAGTCCGAAAACTAATGGGCAAAGTTTCTAGTAATGTACGGCGGCGGTGCTCGTATTGTACTTAGATACTTTAGATTTAGAGGGAAACTTAGACTTATAGTCCAATGATGCGTGGGCAGAAAAGATAGTCATTATCCAGTTTATGCGCGTCTATATATACTAAGTAATGTTAAGCGCTGTCAAGCGCTAAAGCAAACCGAGAAGCGAAGCGGACATGAGATAATATGTAATAAGGGTCCATAACGGAAAACATACGAATTATGGCCATAAGCGCCGGAGATATGTCAGAATCAATGAAAATAGAATCGGAATATGCACCGACGAACCGAACGGACATGGAATGGATGGACAGAGGATGGGCGACGGAACCAAGGATGCATGCGCCGACGTGCGACTAAGGAGTGACTGGAGCGCTGGCATGCACAAGTGGCCGACTAAGTGCTTGAGCGCGCTAGGTGAGATATGAGTCACACTATATTGGGAAGTGATAGAGACAACGGGATTTTAGATCCCTGCAAGCCCACAGAGATATCAGTCTCTACACTGGGATGGAATTCGTGCCCTTCTCAAACACGATTGGTGTTTGGAGGAGCAAAAACGCTTAGGATTAGAAGCTGACAATTTGTGCCGCTTCTTTGGAGAAGAGCTTACTGCACTAGAGCTTTCACTCTGATTTCCCGAAAGTAAGTCTGCTTCTCAATATTTATTCAAGGTTCTATTAATGAACTTGCTCATTTATAGATGAGCACTTTCTTGTTCCATTGCAACAGAAGCACACAAATTTCATCTGACTTCAGACATAGTGGTCGAATCCATTAGCATCTTCTGTTCAATTTATGAGCCATGTAGAGGTGGCATTAAACCATGCCATAGCATACTCAGGAGCTCCTCAAAACACTGCCCCTCAATTGGCAAGTGTGACAATGCAGAACCTTGCTGAGGATGAACAAGTGTTGCCTGAGGAGGACGACTTGGTAGACGACGAGCCCGAACAAGCTGCACTTGCAGACATTCTGGAGGGCGATGTTGCAGGAGCGGAGTTCGAAGATGATGAAGACTTAGTGTCTAACATTTGTGCTAACATTGTATGGGATTCCCCAGAGGTATGTCAATCACATTGACGACATGACATACTAATGTACCTGTAGGGTCTTCTTATTGATGACTTCTGCGCCCCATGATCTCAGGATTTGCCTATCATTGTGTCTGACCATGTAACCACACGAGTGACATCGTCAACTAGACCTCTCCCCTGTCAAGTATTTGAGCCGAGAGACATCTCTTTCCTCGCTTCTCCAACAGTGTTCCTAAATGATGTATGTATCAATGGTTGTGCCGTTCTTCTTCAGATGGACATGCCTAACTCAGATGTGGCTATATTCTCTATCTTCGATCTTCCTCACATCCACTATCATGCCACTGATGATATGCTCTGGTGTAACACATGCTGGATGTCTTATTGGAAGAAATATGTGTGGGTTCTCCCAATTCATAGACCATCTCATGTCGGCCACTGGGTGGTTTGTGTTATTTACTTGTCAACCAAAGAGCTTTGTCTCTTTGATAGTCTTGCTGAACACAAACCCTGGAAACATGATGTGAAAGTGGGTTCCTTTTGACTTTCAAGTGATGATGATTTTGATTGTCTCATAGGATATAATGAAACTTGTTTGTCGACTTCTAATGGTAGCACATCAACGAGGCAATGAGGTACATATCGATCTGGATGGGTGGGTAGCTTGCCTGTTGAATGTGATTTCAAGGGCCTCTCATGCATAGATCCTCAATTGATGACTCTCATAGCTTAAACCTTACCAGATGAATGGTTATGACTGTGGAGAATGGATATTAGCAGCTATGATTGCTGTCCTACATGGACACCATGTTACAGGACTACGAGAGGATGAAATGAGTGACTTGCGGCATTATCTACGCACTTGTGTACTTGCCATACCAGTAGTTTAGCATATTGGAAAGCAATCTCATACTTCATCTTCTCCCTGCCACTGTATTTGAGCTTGCCACTGAGGACAAATTGATATACACTGTGTCAGACAGACTAGTATCATAGAATATACGAGATGTTCTCTCAGGTATGATATCTTACTTGGTATACATCAATTGGCTCGTGTCTCCTCTCCAGAACCTGCAACCACGTGAATTCTTCCGACTCCAGAGGGCACACCCTTTGTTGGTGGTGCCCGCCAGCAACACTGGTTCTTACATTATATTGGCCATACAGCTCAGCAAGCATTATTGTCGATATCAAATACCTAGTAATTCTGAGTGTCTTCTCTTTTGCTATCATCAAGCTTGCAAAGGGCAAGTCCTAGTCATACATTATGATAGAATGTATCCACCTTCTCACTGCACAATCATTACTCAGTAAGCATTTTTTGCCAAACAGCTCTTATTTCATATTAGAGATCTCTCTCATCTCGAATATAGTATGCCAACGAGCACAAGACATCAGGTGACAGAGATTCACAACGACAATAGCGAGCGGAGACCTGGGGGAGTCGATTCAAGGTCACGGTGGACAAGGTAAGTCCTAGGTTCAATTTGTGTTCATGCATAGTACTATTGTCTAATAATAATGTATGTATACAGGTCATCCCACTTGTTTTACCATAGGACACAAGATATCCTTGCTGTACAGCAATATTTTGACATCATCAGGTTTGGGTTGATTCTGTGAGTTGTCAATACTGTTTAATTGAGGAATCCAGGCTAAAAAATCTCTTGTAGCTCGTGTTTTATGTTAATGTGATATGTATTCTCAATATTACTGGCCGATAAACTTGCTAGCATGTACTCCTGGATGTGCATGAACCTCCTGCACCTACAGAGCCTCTTGCAACCCTCTCAAACATCAAGGATGGATACTTATTACCGGTCAGTTCATTTCCAGTACCAAATGCATTCTAACTCATTATGTGGCATACAATCTATTGGATTCTTGATGGAGATTTTACTGACAGCAAAAAATATATATAAGAATGAGACCTTGGTGACTTTTTTCCTCTGGAGCTGCTCTTCATCTCACTCATAACTTTGCTTCTGTCAATGCACAAAATACCTTCTGCTATCTAATACTTTTGGTGCGTGAATGTATCTCACTTGCTTTTGTCTTGTTCACTCACGTACCATCCCTCATGACAGCTAGATTCTTTCAATTGTCATCTATACCCCTCCTACACCATGCAGTCCTACATCCTAATTACATCAGTACATCATTGCATACTCTGAAGTTCACATTGCTGACAGGACTATTTGTTAAGACCATGCACAAAGGGTAGGACTGATTCTGAGGGGCTTGGCTTCAGCTCGTGCGCTGCACCCCTTACCCGAGTATGTGCCCTTAATTTCAGATTGGTGTCCGAGGAAAGTCCAAAGACATCCAAAGGACATCCGAAGGCGCGGGAAACTTCGGAAGGACTTTCTGGACGGGTGCAAGTAACTTCCAGATGAGTGCGGGAAAGTTCCGGAGGAACTTCTGGAAATTACGATGAGGTTTTGTCCTGATACGGATATGTATAATGGCTACTCAGGACTTGTCCTGAGTAGAAGTAAACAGAGGAAAGGCTGCAAGGACAAAGTCCAAAGCAGAATAGGTCCGGAGGACCGTGGGAAAGATCTGGATGAATTTCCGGAAACTACAGAGGATCAGATGAGCGGATGAGCGGAGTATCGGATAAGCAGAGCTCCGGCCTAGGGAGAAACTCCCTAGGCCTGAGATGGATAACAACTAAGTTGGAAGACTAGAACTGATATGAGGACTTAGAGTGAAGACTAGTGTGAGGACTAATATGATATTCAGACTGAGGTACTACAAGACATATACACGAGTTTATATACTAAGAGAAATAACAGAAGGATCAATAAGCAGAGTCCGAGGCTATGTACGAAGCATATGCAAAGGTTGACAAACGCGAGTCAGAAATGAACATAGGTTAACAGATCAGTAAGCATACCAGTAATAGATATAACCGAGGTACCGGTAACAAGGAATACCGGATAGGCTGTGTTAACATTATATGCACAGGAAATGAATTACAAAGCTTATCATATATCGGATAGGAAACAGATCTATACATCGGATCGGACCGGATTGGATATGGTCCGGATGAGATGCGTGGATATATAGGATGTGGCATTAGGGCAACAGGACAAGGATGAATGATGCAGGCTAGCTGCAAAGGATAAGGGATCTGGATGTGGACATGCAGATGTGGATGTGCAGAGGTGCAGGGATCCGGATGGGTACTGGAGACATGGATAGGACATCCGAAGGTCCGGATGAGGTGTGGGAATATTATCAGATGTAGGTCCGGAATATGGGATATGACACTACTTTAGAATGACTCAGACCTCATTCGATGAGGAATTAGACTTGCTCAACAGGTCATCCTCACCATCCTTTCCCCTCAGCAATACACCATTTCCCCTTCCAAATGGGGATTGCATGTATGAGCAATTTGGTGGAGGCCATCGTTATGAAGATCCAGCAGTCGAGCTGATGCCCTCAAGGTTGAGGAGCAATCTTAAGGTCATGGCACGTGACACCAGGGTCATAAAAGATACTTCCATTTGATGAAGGGGTACCCAACAACTGAATGCAGACAGTCAAGGTTTCGCACTGTCAGGCCCAAGGGCTGCATCTTTGAACCATGATGCAGCCACAAGTGATTCAACAACTCTCTCTGTTGTGCTAAGCAGCAGTTGTAACCCCTCACTATTTACAGGTGACATAACATCGCTCACTGTCATGAAGGGCAGCAGTCGCCACCCTTCACCATTCACAGGTGATGTGTCTTCCTGACCCCCAGCTCTGGCACCTCTTCAAGACATGTTCTTTACTTCATTGAGCAACCAGCCTGCCTGGACGGAAGAAGAGGTGACTATGTTTGAGCTGATGGGCACCGACTCATTCACATCCTTACTCGATGATCAGGCTGCAGGCCCTTCAGGCTTCACACAGGGCTTCCCTGGTCAAGTCCCACCATTTGGTCTTCACCATGGATCTCATGCAGCTCCTCAAGCTAGTCTTATGGTTCCTCCCTCTACAAATGTCATTCTGCCGACACCGCTGAAGGACACAAATCCTGGTTCAACCCTGGGGCCATCTCGGCAACTTGACTTGAGCCACTACTTGCCTGATGCCAGCACTCATGAACAGTTTCCTGAAGAAGGTGCCTCACACTCCAAGGAGCCATTGGTTGTGGGACGCAGATCTGCCGAGAGCAATGCTACACTTGATGTAGGATTTGCGGCTGTTGAACACACCCTGCTCGAGTTATCCAGGTCAACTGTGATACTAATGCATCAAGTGATCAACCTGTTCATGAACAGCTGTGGATGCAATGCAAGCAGTGTCAACTACTGGAATCTTTATTTCAATTATTTCAAGGACAAGTCTCAGCAGGAACTTGACCGACTTCATCAAGATCTTCTAGCTGGGGGACACACACCTAGTAAGTGCTCGATATGTCACGTTCATTTCATCAACTTATTTTGTCACAGGTGTGACTGTGTGTAAAGAGTGCTACACAAAGTTCAAAGAACAATACCCAGACACTTATCAAGACATCCTTGACATGCATGACGAGATATCTTTGCTAAGTGGATTGCCTCAAACAGTTGGTCAGTGTGCACAGGCGTTTCAATGGTTTCAGAAAAGGGTGACTGACATTGTAAGTGAATTTATTGTTGATGGTGTCGGCGCTTATGATGCATTTTTTATGCAGTTGTATCTTGCATCTGCCAAGTTTGGGTTTGAGTCTGCAAGTGTTATGTGCGGTAAAATTGTTAATTAGGATGCTTCACTCAGTTACGTACACACAACACCGGGTGCAACAGATGTAAGTCATCAGAGTCATTTCTAAACCTCACACTTATTGATATTCTGTAATAGTTCTTTCTTTCACGATGTCGTGCAGACAGTGACACCATAATCGGTCACCTCAAAGCCCAAGTTTAGTGAGTTCCTATCATCTTGAAGTTGGCAATGTCTTATGAAATGTCACAGTAATTCAACATCATTGTCTACCATAGAGTTGGTGTTCATGGAACAGGAAGATGATGTGGCATCCTCCTCTAAGGTTGTAGATTCCAAGCAGCCCGATTCTAAGGACCCTGACCCTGATGATTTGGATTTGGGTTCTGACCCTTTGGAGGGACGTGAGGATAGCATCAAATGGATCAAGAAGCAAATCACAAAACAAGTCGGTGCATTTCCAGTATTGGTTCTCTCGTTGTACTCAGACTAATTAACTGTCATACACTAGCCAAGTTTGGAGGCAAATTTGGCACCGACAGGACCTTCCCTTGGAAGCTCATGCCAAATGCACTTGCGGACGACAATATCTGCATCAAGGGCTACCCTGCACACAAGTGTCTCCTTCCAGGTGAGTCGCATGGGGTCATCTCAAGTGCAAAGAGCAAGGGTGTGGCTAGCCTGACACAGAAGGAGGTTACTATCATCATTGAAGCTTTGAAAGTCAAAACCATGTATGTCAAGAAAGTTGATGTTGCACTACGAGGTATGTGTGATCCATTAATATGTCAGGGTTTTTACTTTTCTGATAGTCTGGTTTCAATAGGGGAAGTACTGTGCTCTGAAAGGCCCGTGATTTTCAGTGAAGCTCCTCTATCAGACTATCCTCATTCAGGCGCTCGATATCTGTTTATTAATGGTCACATGGACTACAATGGTCTCTCCCGCATCAAGGTCAGTGGTGTGGCTACCAAAGTGAAGAAATCCATTACTTTGGCAGGCAAATCCATTATGATTTTTGATATATCACCTCCTCTTCCATCACGGCCTTTCAAGGTGGTCCCCAGGCCGCTAGCTCGTGAGATGATCGAAGTTCGATCTACTTCCCCCGATTCTCTAGATGCAAATGACCAATGCCAACAGGACTCTGAGTTGGAGTATGAAGATGTGTCCCATGGAAAGAGGAAGAAGCTGAAGTCCAGTGGTGAGCTGCGTGCATCAAAGATGTGTGCCTCACCTATAGATATTTTTCAAAAAACAGCGAAGACAGGTGCACAATCAATGGAGACATCAGTGCTGTCGCAATTGGCAAAAAAAGGGGGTGCATTATCCCAAGTGACAGTAGGGTCGTCCAGCGACGATCAAGACCCCCCCACAACTACTACTATGTGCCTTCGTGATGGCCCTTCCAATCAGCCTGCAAACACTAAAGGTATGGCATCATGAATTCATTTGTTTTGGTTGCCTAACATTTTGTTTATAGGTCGTATCAAGGCATGACCAGTTGCTAAGGGTTCTCATACAAAGCTAATATCTCGTCATGGCCGGGACCTTTACACCATATTCTCTGACAACGACTTGGATATGGTTGGCAACACTGACACTAAGTCCCAAAACATTGCTCCAAGCAGTGTAGATGGCCCTGAGACAAGTCCTGCAGGCGGGCCTGGTGATACTCTCAAGGAGGGAGGAGCTGCATTGGAGACCACCACTGCACACTTGCAGTCTCCATCGACTTCAGGTGCGGTTTGACATGATGCTGTCACCAATGTGGCCCAAGTTCCGGTGCTGTTGGGACAAGGCATATCCTTACCTGTGGATCTTTCTGCAGTACCTCTGGCAGGAGGGAGAGGAGAAGGAGGAGGAGGAGGATTGGTGAGCCGAGGTGCCTTGGATGATGGCTTGACTGGTCATGACCTACCAAAGTCTGACAACCTCCCTATGGATACAGACCATCGATTTGACGAGTCCGTGCACCCTTGTGAGTCTGAAGTCAGCGATCCTCGTGAACCTATCCATCCAGATTCTCATGACCATGTATGTCCAGATCCTCGCAACCATGTCCATCCAGATCCTCACAACCATGTCTGTCCAGATCCTCGCAACCATGTCCATCCAGATCCTTGCGATTATGTCCATCAAGATCCTCGTGACCATGTCCGTCCAGATCCTCACGACCATATCCATCCAGATCCTTGTGACCACACCCATCATGATTATATAAATGCCCCCTTCAGTGGTTCTCATGGTCATCTCCTTTCTAATCCTCGTGGTCCTACTCATTGGGATGCTCCTCACCCTCTTGACCATTGTGGTCCTCTGCCTAACCCTCGTGAATGCCTTAGTCAAGAACCCCATGATCTTTGTGTGCTTGGTCGTAGTACTTGTGAATCTTCTTATCCTGTAAGTTGACATGTCCTTTCTTTGCATAGCATTTAACTTAATATTTTGGTAGCCACAGGATTATCATCATCTCTGTCCTCATGACTCATTCTACCACCGCACTAGCAATGCTCATGACGACCTCCCCGAACTTCAGGAAACTCGTGGTTCTATGTGAGATGTGTCTCTGGTAGCAGAATCCAGCACAACTTGTTACAAGTAACATCGGCTACATGGCCCCCCTATCATTTTTCCCCTTCGTCCTCGCCCTCATATGCCTCCGGCTCGTACTTCTCTACCGACTATCCGTTGACCGGATCCTTGGGACCATTCCCGTCCCTCATCTCCCTCCTATCACACCAACGTGCGCATGTGCCCTCGGGCTATGACTCGTTCTGACTCGTGCCACCAATGTGGCTTTCCTTATCTTGTCTTATCTTTCCTCTGACTCATGCGTGCTGCACATTGTATCAATTACCGTTGGCTCGTTCCAACGTTTCTCGGTCTCATTCCGCATTCGACCTCACATCACTAATTAGGCTCTGCTACCAGCGTACCTATACCCTTTCTGTTTCCCCTTTGCCCTTACCTACAGTACGGTAGCCTTGCCCTTAACCCTTTCCACTTAGTATAAGTAGTCGGTCACTCTGTACTAGATTCCCTAAGTTCAATCTACTCAATCTTCCCTCGACATACTTCCCTCTGAAGCCCCCTCAGCTTCAGTCTCTAGTATCTTTTCTTAGGTGCTCATCGTGCCTAAGTCTACCTCGATCGACTACTCATTGTTCGGACAAGACTGTCCTTACTTTGAGAACGTCAGTGACTTTGAAGACATCCGTCTTAGAAGTCACGTGACACGCTGTAGAAACAACAATACAATGAGGAACAAAAGAAGCTCCTGACTGTATCTGTAAAAGTTGTAAGGTCGCGCGCTGCCTAGTCTGGGTTACTTGAGAAGCAAGTGCGTTTGACCCTATAGGGGAAGTGAGTGCAGCAAGGATCTAGAAGTGTGCCCTTAAGCGAAGCGCGAGAAAGCGCAGGAGCGCGCAAGGTACAAAGGCGCGGGAACGCGCGCGCGTATTAGCGCGAAGCGCGGGAAAGTGCGCGCGCGTATGCGGAAATGAGAAACTAAGCTTAAGTAGTGATATAAAGCAAGATAAGAGATATATGAGTGCAAAATGTAAAGGAATAGCTTTCTACTATATTCTGCTAAGTAGTAAGTGGGTAGTAACTAGTAAGTGAAAAGTAGGAAAAGTAGGTCCCGTGTAGTATGTACTGCTGGCGCTTATATAGCGCGCCTAAGCGCGCTCATGCGGAGCCGAAGCGCTACCGAGTAGGTATGTAAAAATATATATGAGTGAGAAACTATGATAAAAATAAAGGTGGAACTATGCTAATAAAGGAAATGGAAATATACATACTAGGGAGCTTGGTGGACAGTGGATGGATGCATCTGGATGGCTGGCGCTATAGGGCGCGCAAGCGCGGGAACGCGCGCGCGCGTATACATCGTGAAGCGCGGGAATGGTGCGCGCATGGCGCGCGTTGCGTGGGAAAGCTGCGCCTCATATAGAGATAGCTGCGGGTAGCGCACAGAGTAATGCTATGAGTTCGTGCTGTATACTCCTTGGTGAAAACTACCATATCACGCCATGAGAGGCATGATTCTCTACAACGCGCATATCTGATATCTGCCGACTCGTCGTCGCCAGTCTCAGTCACTACACCGGACCCTTCCGGTTACGTCACGAACGTTAGCGGACAATGCCCCTCTTAGGGCTCCGCATAACAGATCTATTTGAGTGCGTAACAAAAGATTCAAGTTACCTTTTTTTGCGCCCTGCCACCCGCACGGCCCATTAACCGACAGACACCACAACTACCTGGATCCCGAAGTACCCTTGGGAACGTGATCCCAACACTCCGGACTCCGAAGAAGAAGAATCAGAAGAAGACCATACGTCCTCCGACGAGTTTCCCGACGAACAACCGTACGGCAATCTCAACTCGAACCCTGGAACAAGAATGTCCGGAGGCCCCACCCAACAACCGACAGTGGTCATATCCAGGCCAGAACTAAAGGCTGGAGTACCACAGAACTATGATGGAAGCATCGATGATTCCGAGCGCTGGATGTACTCGGTGGAGACATACTTCCTCATCAACCCGATGATCTATAACTCCGACCAAACCAAGGTCACTGTTGCACTCCAGTATATGAATGCTGGAGATGCCCGCGTCTGGGCCGACACCTTCTACCGAGAAACCTTCGCCAAACCGACCACCGACTTCGGCACCTGGAAGGACTTCAAGAAGGCTTTCTCCGAATCCTTCCACCCGGTCGACCGGATGACTGAGGCTCTAACCAAGCTTCACGGTTTGAGCCAAACCGGCGACATGATGCCCTACATTGTGATGTTCAAGACCCTGTCGTCCACTGCTAGTCTCAAGCAGGACATTGCCCTCATCCACTTCTTCGAACGAGGGTTGAAACCAGGACTTTGGACCGCCATCTACGGGAAGGAGGTCATCCCCACCACCATCGACAAATGGTACACTGCCGCGACACAGTTGGAATCCAACTACAAGCGATCAAGAGCAGTTGTGTCCAACAACAGATCGGTATGCCCTTCCGGCCACCGGCACGTCCCAAAGCCTCAGGTCCGCCAACGTGATCCTGATGCTATGGACGTCGATCGTTCCCTCACGCCTGAAGAACGACAGAAGTGCTTTGATAAAGGCCTTTGCTTCAAATGCAAGGAGAAGGGCCATCGAGCAAACGACTCCCGGTTCCACCCGAAGGTGCGCCGAGGAGACAAGAACGACAAAGAAGACAAAGGCAAGAAGCCAAGCAAGTCTGGCGTCCGCCAGCTTGACGAGGAAGACATGGAAGTCAACCTTGTCAAAAGAAAGGATTTTTAAAGAGAGGGCTTGTCGAACGGTCAATTCCCTCTATCTGCGCATTGTATACTAAAGCTGTTGGTAAATCCAACGAGTTTCGTGTCCCGGTGACACTTTTCTCTTCTTGCAGTGCCAAAACCATTCAGTCAACTGCAATCATCGACTCAGGGGCAGGTGGGAATTTCATTAGCTATGACTTCGTCAAGCGAAATGGGATCCGGACCCACCTACTCAAGAAACCCTTCCGGATCACCACAGTAGACGGGAGCCCGTCCTCGGCAGGACAGGTAACCCAATACTGCATGCTATTCATTCGTCTCGATCGGAGACTTATGTATGGAAAGTTCAATGTAACGAAACTTTCCAAGCATGATGATCTACTTTTTGGAAAACCTTGGCTTAGTGCCATGATGCCCAATATCGACTGGAAGGCCAACACGATCTCCCTGCCTGCGACCAATAGGTCAAAGGAGGTGGAGAGGGAACTCAACGCCTCTCGACGAGAAAGCAAGGCCAAGCCATATCTCTTTCATGGAGAAAAGGCTGTCCTAGAAGAACTCGACGACGAGGACTTTTCACCCCTCAAACGACTCCCCGAAGGCACTCAACATTGCCTCGAAGAAATCAAGAAACGCAAGAAGCGTAACAAGAAGAAGACGGCGCCAATCATCGTGCCCTTCGAAGACACCGACTTCAACACTATGGACGATGTCTGGGTCGGACAGACCCATCTCGCGGATAAAGTTGAGGAGATCTCCACTTATCCCCTCACTGACGATGAAGTTCTAGTGGAATATGCTTCGGACGGAATGTTTGTCCGGATCATCGAGAACATCTCTTTCGACACCCTGCTCACCAAGGACGGGACCTTGAAGAAAGAAATCCAGAAGGCTCTCCACAGACGAGCAAAACCTCTCCAGAACCTCTGGATCCTCGATTCTCAGCAGGACTACACGAAGACCTCCAAGAAAGCTCAAGAATTTGCTATGGAGGACGCGCAGGAGAAGAAGAAGAAATCATTTGAAGAACTGGTACCTTCCTATCTTCATGATTTTGCTGACATCTTCGCAAAGGACGGTCTGAACAAACTCCCTCCCTCTCGGCTGGGGGTAGACCACAAGATCGAAACGAAGAAAGGCTTCATTCCGAAGTCTTCTCGAGCCTACCCGCTCTCGCCAAAGGAAACCAACGCTGTCAAAGCATTTTTGGATGAACACCTCGCCAAAGATTTCATCCAACCCTCGAAGTCTCCTCAAGCTGCTGGATTCTTCTTTGTCGGCAAGAAGGATGGATCTCTCTGCCCCTGCCAGGACTATCGATACATCAACGAATGGATGATCAAGAACGCGTACCCACTCCCTTTGATACCACCCTTGCTTGCGAAACTCAACAAGGCGCAATGGTTCACAAAGGTCAATGTACGCTCAGGATACAACAATATCCTCATTCATCCTGACGATAGGTGGAAAGCCCCGTTCTCCACCTCATATGGGCTCTTTGAGCCCAAGGTAATGTTTTTTGGATTGTGCAATTCACCCGCTACCTTCCAAGCTTACATGAACCAGACGTTTTCAGAAGAACTGAACGAAGGATGGTTAATCATCTATATGGACGACATCCTGATCTTTTCAGATAACCTGGACGAACACCGGCAGAGGACCCGCCGAGTGTTGGAGAAACTCCGCAAAGAGTCTCTCTTCCTCAAACCTGAGAAATGTACCTTCGACACTCAAGAAGTCGAGTACCTCGGTATGATCATTCGACCCGGACAGGTCGCTATGGACACTGCCAAGCTGAAAGGCATCAGCGAATGGCAACAACCCTCTTTGGTCAAGGACGTGCGGTCTTTCCTTGGATTCTGCAACTTTTACCGTCATTTCATTCCCCACTATTCCGACATCGCACGCCCTCTCCTAGACCTAACCAAGAAGGAGATTCCCTTCTCTTGGTCCGACTCCACCGAAGTTTCATTCCAGCATCTGAAGAAACTATTCACAACCGAACTGGTTCTGCGGAACCCCAACTCCTTGCGGCAGTTTGCACTTGCAACTGATGTTTCGCTCTTTGCGACCGGAGCAGTCTTGCTCCAGACAGATAGCAATGGGGATTACCACCCCTGCGGCTATCTCTCCCAGTCCCTCAACGCAGCCGAACGGAACTACAAGATCTACGACCGGGAACTCCCCTTCAGGCTTGGAGGCATTTCCTGGAAGGAAACCCTCATCCGGTCGTCATTTTCACCGATCACAAAAACCTGATCTATTTCCGTTCTGCGCAACGACTCACTCGACGACAGGCCCGGTGGCACCTCACACTCACTAACTTTGATCTGGAACTTCACCACGTTCCTGGAACAAAGCTCGCTGCACCGGATGCCTTGTCCCGCCGTCCTGACCATGCTATTGCCGGTCAGGATAACAAAGATCGCGTTCTCCTCCCCGATACCCTGTTCACCTGTCTAATTGACGCTGAACTCGCAGACGAGTTCCAATGACTCTCTGACGACCCCTCCGACCAGACTGTGAAAACAGCCTTGGACGCTCTCTCTGGGGTGTGCGCACCCCCCATGAAGTCTGCACTTTCCGATTGGAGGTTCACCGATGGTGTTCTCTTCTATAAAGATCGTGCCTACATTCCCCCCGACCTCCAGCATCGCGTGCTGTCTCTGCATCACGATCACCCAACCGCCGGGCACCCCGGGCGTTCGGGTACCGAATGGAACATCAAGAAATCCTACTGGTGGCCCGGAATGGGCTCCTTCATTAGGAAATATGTTGATGGCTGCGCCATGTGCCAGCAGATGAAGGTTAACACCCACCCCACGACACCTCCCCTCACCCCGATACCCTCCTCGGCCCTCCGGCCCTTTGCCCAGGTTTCGGTTGATTTAATCACCGACCTCCCCGAGAGCGCTGGCTACAACTCTGTCATGGTCGTGGTAGACCATGGGCTTACGAAGGGGGTAATTCTCTGCCCTTGCAGAAAAACCATCACAGCGGAAGGAGTAGCCGAACTTTTCTTCAAGAAAGTGTTCATGCGCTTCGGACTCTATGACAAGATCATCTCGGACCGAGGCCCCCAATTCGCCTCGAAGCTAGCAAAAGAGCTGGGACGACTCCTCGACTACCAAGTCGCACTTTCCACTGCCTACCACCCTCAGACAGATGGCCAGACCGAACGGCTCAACCAAGAGCTCGAAACCTACCTCCAGATCTACTGCTGGACGACTCCCTCCAAATGGGCAAAGCACTTGCCTATGGCTGAATTCGTTCATAACTCCCGACGACACTCCGCCAGAAATGCCTCTCCCTTCTACCTCATGATGGGCTACGAACCATGAGGCATCCCCCATCTCTTCCCCGACTCTACTCTACCAACCGCCGAAGACTGAGTCAAGTCACTTGCCAAAATCCGTGAAGAAGCCCTTGCATGCCACAGCCTCGCGCAGCAATGCATGGCTGATCGTTCCTATGGCCAGCGTTACAAGCCATGGAACGTTGGTGATAAGGTATGGCTATCCGCCACGAACCTAATCACCGGATTCCCTTCTAGGAAACTCACCCCGAAACGATATGGATCCTTCCCAATCCAGAAGGTCCTCTCCCCCATCACGTTCCAGCTAAAGCTGCCTGCCAGCTGGCGTATCCACCCCATGTTCCATGCCTCGGAGCTTTCCTCCTATCAGGAGACAGAAGTGCATGGACCGAATTTCACCGAACCTCCTCCTGATCTTATCAATGGAGAGGAACACTACGAAGTGGAAGCTATCCTCCAACACAAGGGTATCAGATCGCGTCGCCGGTACCTCGTGTCTTGGGTTGGCTATCCTGCCTCCGAACGAACGTGGCTCCCTGAAACAGAATTAAAGTCCGCAGCGGAGCTCCTGAAGGCGTATAAGAAGCGACTCAAGATCGCTTCAATTGCCATCTCATGTTGATCAACAAACGCCACTGCAACTTCGCCTACCGCCCTCACTACACGAGGGCTGACCCCACCGACGAACCCATTCACACCAACACCGAAACCTTCCATTGCCAACAAATCTGCAATCGCCACTGCCCCACAAAACCCAAACCCATCGACAAACAAAGACCCATTACCCAATACCCCACCTACGCCACTACCCAAGGAAAGACGCTTCATTATGCCGGCTTCAGCATTGTCTGTTTCCTCGCACCGATCCGCTACCTCTCATGTGTCTGCCTCCGACCGCGACCTGACGAGCCAGCCAATGCCTGGCCATGATGAGCCCTCCCCCCCGGGATATACCGTCTTCCGACAACCATCCCTTCGCTCAGTTGTCCAAGATAGGCAATGGGCCTACTGGGAAGCAGTCATCTGCGATCCCCAGTATGCACTTCGACTTGACAACTATCTCAACCGCACCAATGACGACATTACCATGAACCTTGTCCAGGCCTTCAGGGCCACCGACGCCCTCACCGGCGATATCGCCAGGATTGACTTGGCTAGGGAAATCTCCCTATCCACCGTCTCGACCAGATATAACCAAGGCAAGATCAAGTGAGCCTTGCTAAATCTGTTTGAGCTCAGGAACTTCCATGCCGCTGTCATGGCCGTTGAGGAGGAGCGGGCATTTAATCCCCCTCCCGACCCGCTTGCAGTTGTCGAGCGTGCTGTCTATGACAGAGCTCCGACCCCCTTCCTTCCCCAACTACCCCGCTCCGAATCACCAGAGCACATCTCCAATGTCACCCAGTTGACCAACCCCGAGATCGACCGTCTCTACGAGGAATACGAACACGAGCTCTATGCTCCACGTAACCCTTCTCCCATCCCTGATGTCGACACCATCTCTATCACCATCCCAGAGTTGGATGAATGCCCCCCTGATCCACCTGTTCTCAACCCCGACGATTGGGTACCCACCGAGGTGGTCCCACACCTCTCTCTTGGTTTTCCGGAACCCCTCCCTACTCCGCAACGCCGAAATCACCGTGCTCGTGCACGATCCATCCTGTCCCTTGGACTACCCCTCTCCCACGTGCATCGCCCGCGCACCCAGAACTTCACTAGGCACTATCCTCATGAGGAAGCCCAGGAAGACGCCATCAATGACGCACGTCGTGATGCCACCGAGACCACCCAGGTCTACCGCAGCAACATTGTCTGCCGCCAGTGCCGTGTCTTTGGACACAAACAGAAACACTGCGCGCAATACTTCTGCCACATTTGTGGGCAATTTGCCCCAAAACATCTCACTCCCTTCTGCCCTCGACTCGATGGCAGAAAGATCCTTCGCCGTGGAACCTCTTCTGACCGGTTCTACAGGGACATGCGCCAGCTCGAAGCCGCGTATGACCAGGATGCTGCTCGCCTCAAGCAAGAACGTGAAGAGAACGCAATCGAAGCCGCCTCCTGGCTCGAAGACCTCGACTTCGACCCCGAGTGGTATAACAACCAGGACAACTACGTTCCCCTGGACAACAATTAAGAGTTCGTGGAACTCTACCTTGAAACGGGGGTAATGTTACAAGTAACATCGGCTACATGGCCCCCCTATCATTTTTCCCCTTCGTCCTCGCCCTCATATGCCTCCGGCTCATACTTCTCTACCGACTATCCGTTGACCGGATCCTTGGGACCATTCCCGTCCCTCATCTCCCTCCTATCACACCAACGTGCGCATGTGCCCTCGGGCTATGACTCGTTCTGACTCGTGCCACCAATGTGGCTTTCCTTATCTTGTCTTATCTTTCCTCTGACTCATGCGTGCTGCACATTGTATCAATTACCGTTGGCTCGTTCCAACGTTTCTCGGTCTCATTCCGCATTCGACCTCACATCACTAATTAGGCTCTGCTACCAGCGTACCTATACCCTTTCTGTTTCCCCTTTGCCCTTACCTACAGTACGGTAGCCTTGCCCTTAACCCTTTCCACTTAGTATAAGTAGTCGGTCACTCTGTACTAGATTCCCTAAGTTCAATCTACTCAATCTTCCCTCGACATACTTCCCTCTGAAGCCCCCTCAGCTTCAGTCTCTAGTATCTTTTCTTAGGTGCTCATCGTGCCTAAGTCTACCTCGATCGACTACTCATTGTTCGGACAAGACTGTCCTTACTTTGAGAACGTCAGTGACTTTGAAGACATCCGTCTTAGAAGTCACGTGACACGCGCATCTCTGATATCTGCCGACTCGTCATCGCCAGTCTCAGTCGCTACACCGGACCCTTCCGGTTACGTCACGAACGTTAGCGGACAACGCCCCTCTTAGGGCTCCGCATAACAGATCTATTTGAGTGCGTAACACAACTTACAACATGGATCGGGAGCATAGTCACCCACTGGGGTACTCTGACCATGACAGATATAGCCTAGTAGTGGAATATGGGTACATGCATGAACACAGATTCCCTCCGCGTGATGATTACAATGACCGTGGCCATGGGTCAGTTCCCCAGTGCAGCGGAAGTTATTATAATACAATCAGGCTTATGAAAGAGGATATCAAGGAGACTCAAGGTGGGCTTCACACAGCCCATACCATGGTCCAACTTCCAGCTCGAACACTCAGCCAGCAGAGTATCCCATTGATGCACCTGCTTCCATTTGATTATTATCCTCTCATCTCCTTCTATACTTGTCCGGCTTTGTTGCCCTCCAAATAGACCCTGTCTGCTTGCTGCTTCCTTTCTTACTCATACCCATACTCCTGCTGTCCATCGCACCACAATGTTCATAGTCCCTTGATACCTAGTTGTTTGCATTGCCTTCGTCATCTTACAGTTTTTGCACCTTGCCCTTTTGATATGATTGACTTGTCACACAGTGTTGCTATTATCCTTGAATACATTGAGCGCATTACTCAGACCAATGTGTGAAATTATCATCAATACATGATGAGAAAAGTGAGAAAAGCATTCTATCTACAACATAGAACATATGTAAATGTGCAAGATGATGCTCCCCACCCTCGCAAACGGTCCTACCACCCTCACATACGGTCCTACCCATCCTCACAGATGGCCCTCCTAACACTCGCAAACGGTCCTCCCCACCCTCCCAAATGGTCCTCCCAACATTCACAAAGGGTCCTCTCCACTCTCCCAAACAGTCCTCCCCACCCTCCCAAATGGTGCTCCCACCCTCCCAAACAGTCCTACCCACCCTCCCAAATGGTCCTCTCCACCTTCCCAAATGGTCCTTCCCACCCTCCCAAATGGTCCTCCCAACATTCACAAAGGGTCCTCTCCATTCTCTCAAATAGTCCTCCCCATCCTCCCAAACAGCTTTCCAACACTCGCAAAGGGTCCTCTCCACCCTCTCAAATGGTCCTCCCTACCTTCCCAAATGGCTTCCCAACACTCACAAAGGATCCTCTCCACCCTCCCAAATGGTCCTCCCCATCCTCCCAAATGGCCTCCCAACACTCGCAAATGGTCCTCCTGGACATCCTGGACTCCTGGTGGGGCCACTAAATGCTATATGGATGTACTTCAGTTCACAGAGGATAAGGGTCATGCACCTCAAGAGGAAAGTTGCTGAAGTTTGAGAAATGGGTGGCAGGTTCTTGCAGGAGGGACGTCTTGCAGATAGGTTATCACATACCAAGAAACCCATCTCAAAGACCGTGGGAAGCTCTAAAAAGTGCTGCCAAGGGTGGATAATGTCATATAGATATATCTTAAGTGGACTATAGTCCTAAAAGTGTGATATATCATTCAGTCTGGCCATCTATGATCCAAATGGATGTATCCCTTGGTGGATCCCAAATGCTAGCATACATAGCCGCATTTTTTGCATTTTTGAAACTCAGCCATTTTTTATTCCAGGATGTATTATGTCAAAATGCACCAATATGTTGCAAACACAATCATCTCTTAGGGGACCCGCAATGCGAGGGTCTTCACCTGAGGCCGAGTCTAATGGAGCACATTTATGCAAGAGTAAGATACTGAAAAACATCAAAAGTATCAAAAATGTGATTTTCTATATCTTTGTTCCTGCAGAAGGATCCTATGTGTGTTCTGGTCTAGCTATATGATAGATCTACTGCAAATATACATAGAAATAGACTCCTCACCTCAATTTAGGTCCAGTCCTAGAGGAAAAACTTTCACAGGGGATAAACCACTAGGAGAGGGGGAGCACACCATGCAACAAGGTATTGTCCTATAGTCCTGAGCTCCTGATACATTGTTCCTATTGTTAAATAGATGCTGGGAATAATTTTTGCAAGTCTATTCACCCAGAAACCAAAAAATGTGAACCTATTTTGTGTTTTCATGTATATATGCTGTATTTATTTATGTAAGACACTTCAGGGGGTCAAATAGAGATGGGAATCTACTCATATATACTCATAAACATGTTCTAAACATCCCAGAACACCTCCCTATCAAAGGGGCAAAAATGCAAAAGTGTTTTCTAAACTACCCTATGTTGAAAGGGCCCTAGAAGAGGAGCAGGCACACAAATTGACAAAAAAAGTGGTCTATTACATTATATTATACATAGATATACTAAACTACTACTTATATATGCACAGGGACATATTGTGGTGTGGTGGTGAAGCTGCAGTGAGGTGGGGAAGGGTGTGGGAATAATTGATATTGTGGAGATTCCCAAAAAGGTGATGTTTTTGGTGTAGTGGGGAAATTCCCACAGTAGATGGCCAAAAATGCGGTGTGGGGATAATGTGGGGAGGCCCTAATATGAGAAGCCATCTATTTTTAACTGATGTAGGTACAGTATGGCTAAAAATACAAAAATGCAGAGTGTGGGAATAATGTAGGAGGCTGCAGGCCACCAAAATGGATATGTTTTGTGAATTACCACACATAAATACATCCTGGAATAAAAAATGGCTGAGTTTCAAAAATGCAAAAAATGCGGCTATGTATGCTAGCATTTGGGATCCACCAAGGGATACATCCATTTGGATCATAGATGGCCAGACTGAATGATATATCACACTTTTAGGACTATAGCCCAAAGGGATACATCCATCCACCCACATGAGGTGCATGAGATGGCATATATGGCATCAAACTTAGTGACTTTGGATGATCTGAAGTCCTACGCTTCTTGGACCCATACCAAGTGGCACCCCAACAAGGACCCCGGAAAAAACTCAACCAACTTTGCGCCCAATGGCGACAAAGGCATTAAACAACGCTGGCTTCGTCCTCTCTCCTCTATTTCTGTCTATTACTAGTCTCTATATACATAATAAACGTACTACAAAATCCAAAAACAACAAAGGTAAAACCATGGCTCCAATGCCAACCAAACCTTCCCAAACTACTAACCATGCTCCAACCACATCTGTAACACCAGCCACTAGAGGCCAGAAAACAACTGCTAGCAAACCACTCTTATCCAAAAGTAAAGAAATAGAAAACCACCTAACCGATCTAGACGTCAGATCCAAAGTCAAAAACAATATCATGGCCAAGAAATTACCATTATCACATGGCCTAGACCTTCCTATCGCATGCAACATCATAAAGCAAATAGCACATGCCTTATTGGAATATAGCATCACAGCGGAAGTCGGAGCAACACACGTCAACATACTCTGATCTATGGCAATACTACTCATCAAAGCTGAAAAAAACTTAGATGCAGCAAACCTCATAGAGAAAGTTTCAGCCCTGATACAAGGACCTATCATGCAGCTAGAAGAGAAAGCCAGGAATATAGAGGAAGCAACGGTGGCCCACAAGGAGGCGCTGGAACATGCTGTCACCGAGCTACATGGCAACTTAACCAATTCATCTGATAGCATCGAGAAAGTGGTCCTAAACGTAACCAAGGCGTTGCAAGACATACCAAAAGTTACTCATCCTGAAGGAATGCACACATATGCAAATGCAGTCAAAACTAACGCCCCTCCCCCACTAACCAAACTTCTAGCACACGGAGAAGCACAAGCAAAGCAAATCCTCCTAGACAGGCGCTCATATGGTGAAATAGACACCCTCAGAGGACTTACTGAAGCAGAACTCGTCGCAAAAGCCAAACTAACTCTAGAATTAGTAGAAAAAGACAGCCTCACCATCCCTCAAGGCCTCACCTTCCAGTCAGCACGAAGACTTCCACATGGGGGCATCCTATACAAACTCGACTCAGCAGAATCCGCCAAATGGCTCAATTCCCCAGTGCACTGAGGGAAATTCACAGGATGAACCAAAGGACAGCACACACTATCATCACCCTCAAATCTAAGGAAAGTGCCAACCAAATACTCCGTTTCGGCACAACCATCGAGGGCAAGAAAGTATTTGGACTCAAACTCCTCCCGGAACTGACTCGATGCCTCAAATACCAATCTTATGATGGATCACATGTTACAGCAGAATGCACTCAAGAACATGACACATGCGGCACTTGTGGCACACAACATCACACAGCAACATGCAAAGTAGATGATCCTAACTACTATCATTGCGCTAACTGTGACTGCCAGGGCCACGCCTCATGGAGCAGAGACTGCCCAACATTCATCAACAAATGGGAAAGCTTCAAGAACCGAAACAAAGACTCAAGATACCGATACTTCCCTACCGAAGATCTACTCACCTAGGAAACACAAGAGAACAACAATGAGCAGTACGCAGAACCCCCAAGACCAGTATGGACCCAATCGGTAACGGACACTAACACCCACAGCAACTATGGACGACTCTTAATGAAAATCCCTCAAACAAAACCTCAAACTCAACAACAGAACAACAAGCAAGAACACCAAAAACAGCAACAGCAAACCCGACCACGCACAAACCCAAACAAGATCCCAATTGGATACAGCTCCCAAGCCCGTCTAATGAGCAATTGGCTAGCCTCTCAACCAACCAATGGACACAACGAGAACATGCAACCACACCCCAACACCTCAGAATCACCTCTTCAAAACTCCTCCGCTCACACCACGCCTTTATGGTTCCTGCCCTCAACCCCAGACATCTATGCCAAAAGCCCTCTCACATCCGACTTTGAATAAATGCAGAAAAACTGTAATGAACAACCCCCTCACACTGACTTCAAAATTTGGCAGCAAAACTTATGAAAATCTTCTAGCGCCTGGGAGCACATGCTCCGAAACCTCAAACCTGAAACCTACAACCTCGCCTGCATACAAGAACCCTTCCTCAATCCTGTAGGCCTCACGAACGCCTCCAACCTGAGGCGATTTTGGGATGTAATATATCCCACCAACCACCACTCAAACCCCAAATGCTCGCAAACCATCTTACTTGTCAACAAGAAACTGTCCAAGAACAACTGGCATATCATCCCGCTCGACACGCCCAACATCACAGCAATTGAAATACACAGCAACTTTGGAAAAGTATGTATATATAATATCTACAATGCATGCAACCACTCCAGGATGCTCCAGTTCCTGGAAAGACACATGAGAATCGAGGAGACAACCTTCTGCACAGCTCCCTGCGTCAACCCTCGCACTCAAGACGAAAACAGAACAAACAACACCCACGTGATATGGATGGATGACTTTAACCATCACCATCCCATGTGGGAAAAGACAAGTAATGCTCATCTATTCACCGCAGCAAACTTAGATGCCGCAGGTGTACTAATTAACCTCCTAGCTGCATATAACCTCACCCAAGCCCTACCATCTGGTATAGCCACCCTTGAAGCCTCAAACACCAAGAACCACACCCATCCAGACAATGTTTTCTGCTCCGCCGAGATCGAAGACATGTTCACCAAGTGCTTGGTAGAGTATCAGCTATGCCCCATAATTACTGACCACTTCCCTATCATCAGCATATTAGACCTACAGCCAGAACACCAGCACTGCCCAAAGACCAAATTTCAGAAACATAGAGTGGGATGAATTCAGAGAAGCCCTTTCCTCCAATCTTGAAGTGCACCCACCTGCTGATATCAAAACCATAGATAAATTTCAAGCTGCCTTCACACACCTTATCCAGGCCATCGCTAAAACCATGGAGGACCACGTACCAATAACCAACCAATCACCCTACACCAAATGATGGTGGTCGAACAAACTCGACATTGAACAAAAACAAGTACACAAAATCGGTAAGAAGGCCAGAAACCTGCTAGCTCAACGACAAGACCCCATCCATGAAGAATTTTGCCTCGCTCACAACCGATTCTCAGAGAACATCAAGAAAGCGAAAAGGAGCACTGGGAAGAATGGCTTGACGCCATCACACCCACCAACATCTGGGACTTCCATCAATATGCAGCCAGCGACCCAATGGGGCAAATACACACCAGGATCAAGATGCTGAAAGACCCACAAGACCCTAATGGGAAGAACACCATGCAGGACAACGCGAGGGAAAGCGAGCTCCTCTGAAAATGAACATGTTGAGCCCAATTTCATTTATAACTCTCCCATTTGCGAATTCGCACCTATCACTAACAAACAAATCACCTGCACCATAGACAAACTCTCCCCGTACAAAGCCCCAGGACCAAATGGAATATGTAACTGTGTATACAAAAAATGTACTGACCTCCTAGTACCATATATGGGACCCATCTTCCATGCCACATTCACGCTCGAACACTACCCCAAAGACTGGAAACTATCCTCTACAGTAGTCCTATGAAAACCAGGAAGACCAGACTACAGCCTACCAAAAGCCTATCAACCCATCACCCTGCTTGATACCATGGGTAAAATTTTATCTTCCTGCGTAGCTGATGACCTAGTATATATAGCGGAGCACCATAACCTCCTCCCACCAATGCACTTCAGAGGACGCCCGGGAAAATCTACAGTAGACTCCCTCCACCTACTAACGAAATTTGCAACAGATGCATGGGCCTCAGCTGAACCATTTGTATTAATACTATTCTTAGATGTCAAGGCAGCATTCCCCAGCGTAGTGGTCAACCAAATGCTACACAATATGAGACACACTGGAATCCCACTGGAGTACATCAAGTGGTACGGAAAATGACTAAGCAACAGATCGACAACCCTACACTTTGACGACTATCAATCAGACCTTTTCAATGTCTCGAACGGGGCAGACCAAGGATGCCCCTTGTCGGTAATAGGATTTCTATTTTACAACTCCCCTGTACTATGAGTAGCTGATACTAACCCAAGGTGAGGAGAACTCAGCCTCGGATTCATAGAATAGCCTTAGCAGCACACGGCAAATATTACGAGGAAGCGAACGGAAAACTCAAGAATATGATGGAGAAACCAGGGGGCACTTTAGATTGGAGTAGAGATCATAATACTGACTTTGAACTAGATAAAACAGCCCTACTATGCGTATCAAGGAAACGTATCAACAACCCCAACCATAGAAACAAAACCCTTCCCATCCCCCACCCACCAATCACTATCCACAACCATGTCATAACACTATCCAGATCGCACAAGTTTCTCGGAGTAATAGTGGATGACGAGCTCACCTTCAAAGAACACACCACGTATGCCCTAGTGAAAGGCACCCGCTACATGATGGCATGTCAAAGGATGACATGAGCAGCAAAAGGAGTCCACGGTCAATTACTAAAGAAACTATACGAAGGTGTAGTGATCCCAAAAATGCTCTATGCCGCTGATGTCTGGTGCTCAGGATTGATAGTGAAAGGAAGGGGAAAGAAGAATGCAGGACGCGGAGCGAGGGGCTTTGCCTTGAAGATGGAGAGAGTCCAGAGAATGGCAACAATAATGATAACAGGAGGAATGAGAACCTCCGCCACTGATCTCCTTGATGCACACGCTAACATCCTTCCATTCCAGCGGCTACTGCGCAAAGTCTGCCACAGAGCCATCCTACACATGATCACAATGGACAAGACTCACCCTCTCCACAAGGGAATCCACACAGCATACAACTCATGTACCAAAAGAGACTTCAAAGGCTGCAAAAGACACCCGTCACCCCTTCATCACCTACTCAACAAATTCAAACTTAATCCACACAACATCAAAACCATCAGCCCAATTCGCCACTACCCTAAATGGACCCCCGATGTCACTGCAGAAATAGCAGGCGACATGACCACAGCAGCCTTGAATGATGCCTTCACAGAGGAAGACTTACGTGTATATTCAGATGGCTCGGCCATCAATGGAGGAGTAGGAGGAGCCGCAGTGATGATGAGAAATGACGAGATAGTGGGGGAAAGAAGGTTCTATCTAGGAAGCGACCAAGAGCATACAGTCTATGAAGGAGAGCTGGTGGGAATGATACTGGTGGTAGAGATGTTGAGAGAGGAAGGAGGAAAAGGAACCATGGCCCTGGGCGTTGACAACCAGGCGGCCATCTTCGCCACCAGAGTGTTTGCCTCCAAACCTGGGCACTACCTTATGGATAAGTTCCACGATGACCTGCACAGGCTGATACCAGCGCAGGATGACCGTAAACTGAAGGTACGGTGGACACCCAGCCATCAAGGAATCCCAGGCAACAAAGCCACAGATGAGCAGGCCAAAAATGCAGCAGGAGGAGAGAGTAGCGCACCTGGAGAACTCCCAAGATCCCTTCTTGCCACAAGAAGCAATATCAAAACCACCCTGCCCATCAGTAAATTAGCTCTAAAGCAGCAGTTCAGAGGAGGGATCAAAGCCGAAGCGGCAATAATCATGAAGAACTCCCCATGCTACAAATGTCTCCATGAGATTGATATGACAGCCCCATCAAGGCACTTCTCCAAGCTAGTAGAAAAACTTCCACAATGACATTCATCACTGCTCTTCCAGCTCCGCACAGAACATGTGCCCCTGAATAAACACTTACACCGCATTGCAAAGGTCCCCAGTCCCACCTGCCAGCAATGTCACTGCCGTGAAGAAACAGTCCATCACTTTCTACTTGCCTGTCCGAAATACGCCAGACAGCACCTCACACTTCAGAACGAGATCAGTCTGCAAGCCAACCATCTCAAGAACCTGCTGAACAATTCGAAATGCACCAAGCCCCTTCTCTGCTTCATAGCGAGCACACATAGACTAGAGCAGATCTTTGGGGATGTCACACCCCCTGTGGATGAAGAAGAGGAAGAATGACATGAACACAAAACTCCCAAACCCTATCGCCTTTAGCTGGCCTTACCAGTCTTCATATCACACCTGGACATGAACGCACACCAGAATGATCTTTTCAAACCAAACGTAAATTAGAAGTAAATACCTGTATGTTTTGTCTACCATAGGGCAGCGCCCCAACGGACAATAAACACTGATCAATAAAATAAAATAAAATCTGAAGTCCTTGACGATGTAGAGGCATTTTTTTGCCATGATTTGTTTGGGTAAATGCGCTCCATTGGACTCAGCCTCAGGTGAAGACCCTCACATTGCGGGTCCCCTAAGAGATGATTGTGTTTGCGACGTATTGGTGGCATTTTGACTAGAAGTGGCTTGATCTGACATAAAATGGAAGTATGACCGAATTCAATATTATAGAATTCAATTGTGACGAAAAAACTGGTGCAGAATGTGCACAAGCAAACGGTGCTCTGAGGACAAGTAAGCGACATGCAGAAAGGAGTCACGTCAGTAAGATACTTATATCCAAGCTCGAAAAGGGGCCTCTATGGGTGACACTGAGTCATAAGGCCCAGAATCAGACCAGTATCGCGTGTTGATTCAACTTGGTTAAATAAATTTAACCCTGAGTAAATAGTTTTCGCACTATATCGCTACGGCCCAAAGCAGCAGTGGTGGTGTAGAGCGGGAGGTTTTTCCTGGTCCATATCTCTTCAAGGTCACAGAACACCTGCTCCTGGCAGTATTATCCATAACCATAGCTAATTATCTACACATGGTTATACTTCATCTTCATGGACCCTCGAGGATATCCTTCGTTATCTGTTATACATTACCTTACTCCCATTGCTCCTTAGTACCTGCTGTCCCACTTATATAATGGTTGATTGATCTTGATCGTAATTGTTGGAGTGGGGCGCTGTGGCAGGACAAGACGGTTGTGGCAGGTGTCCTAGCTCGTAGTCGGTAGTCCTCATGTGTGTCATAGTCTGTCCTCGATAGACAGAGCCGTAGCCTCCCGCTATAGAGGTTTGGCCTTGGTTCCCCTTGCAGTCCTACCCATTACATCATACCTTACTCCCACTCCCTGCTCCTGCTGTCCTGCTTATATAATGGTTAATTGATCTCGATCGTGATCATACCTACTCCTGCTGTTCACTGTCCCACTTATATAATGGTTGATTAAGCATACCAGGGTTCAGGGCCTTCAATGTTGTAGCTTCTTGAGAATGGCATGTCAATCACACGAGTTTAGAGATTAAAAGTCTGTATTTGGTATAAACAGAAGGTATATCAAAATGTACCGATAGTACTAATGAGCCGTGTTGATGGATGGGATGGGAGCTGCAGTTGCCTCGAGATGAAGGAGGGCGGGCACGATACTCCACTTGGTGAGGAACACATCTCTCATGGACCTGCGCAGGGCTGCTTGACGTTTGGCATAGCCTCAGATGCCTTCCAATGAAGCATCATCTAGGCCTACCCTTCGTGTGGCCTGCTCTTCCCACCACGCAGCATGCCATGCAAGAAAAGCACTGACGTGCCGCATCTCTTTGAGCAGGAGTTCCACTTCTTCAACCCACCTGTTTGCATGGGCCCTCGATCTACACCATTTGACTTGCAAAGCTATCAAAACATTCAGCAGCAGTACTGACACAAGAGTGGTCACTCACCTTCTGAGAGAATTGCCTCACCCTCCACCCCTGCAGTAGCTACACCTTGCACTTTCCATATCCATGACAAGGTGCGGTTCCCGCTTGACTCTCCAAATGCATTGTCTCCCATCCCTTGGGTGTCCCCATCCTCTAACTTTGGCAGCTCTGTCGTCCACGCATTCCTGGCAAGGGAGGGTGCGAGAGTGCTTAATGTGTTCCAGGCTCTGTGATAGCGCTCAGCAGCCACAGATACATGAACTTCGACATTCTTGATGATAGCACCTGCATGTGTATTTGCCCGTTGACCGCGAATTTGAGCATCCTTGAACTTATATAGGTGTGTTCGAAGGCAGAGCTGCTGGTGGAGATCATCGAGGGCGTCAAATGCCTGGGCATGCTGTAAGTCCCACTCATATTCGGAGAGACTATCATTGCATGGAAGCAGTGTCTCTCGCCTAATCTGTGACGGCAACCACAGCTTGATGTCATAGGGTTTCTCCTCCTGGATAGAATCTATACTAGACTCAATGTCGGAGGTTCGAACACAAGCTACTGAGGGGAGGTACAGCAGCTGGATCTTACACCATTCAGCAATCTGGCGCTGCAATGCATTGCTGCGTTCCTGGAACTTTGCAAGCTGTAGGTCGGTGGCATGAACACTGAGGGTGCTATGGTCATGCTGAAGACGACATCTGCGTCATAGTCACTCAGTGTTGTGTAAATGGCAAAAACCAGAACTCGACTCACTGTTGATCCTCATAGTCTATGCCAGAGGAAATTAATATACTTGGGGAGATATCAGAGTGAAGCGCAACATTGACCCCATGTTCTAGATCCCTGGCTTCTTTTTGTGAGAGACTGAGGTGCACGGCAGCTTGTGACATTGCTAACAGAAAAGAGAGAGGTTAGTATCTTACAAGGGCAAAACATAGGGCTTATGTTTGCTCTTTATCTCGAAAGGATTGGGCTGTGATCTGTCTTCTTCCCATATTTCCACTGCCGACTTCCATGTTTCAACTTTGTTGGGTCGCTCCTGTGATAGCATGCGATCGAAATCTTCGAAATCACGTACATGGAGACCACGTTCTGGGATAGCTGACTTTATCTTGCACAAAAGGCTGATACCTTGATGAAACATTAGATACATAGCGAAGTATGAGTTAGGTAAAGAAGAACTTACCGAAGTTTGTCACTTTCTTCCAATTGAAATCCCCAAAATGATCATCTAGGATGCCTCTCTGTGAGCCTGGCCCCATCTCACGTGTGCTTGTTGCCACTGAATTGATGTTGGCCCAACCACACTCAGGAGCTTCGCCATCAGTTCGACCAATGCTGTCATATCCCGTATTCCGGACCTACATCTGATAATATTCCCACGCCTCATCCGGACCTTCGGATATCCTATCCATGTCTGCAGTCCTCTATCCATCTGGATCCCTGCACCTCCGCACATCCACATCCAGATCCCTTTACCTTCGCAGCTAGCCTGCATCGTTCACCCTTGTCCCATTGCCCTAATATTATATCTTGCATATCCACGCATCTCATCCGGACCACATCCGATGCGATCCTATCCAACATATAGATACATTTCCTATCCGATATACGATAAGCTTCTTGATTCATTTCCTGTGCATATAACGTTAACACAGCCTATCCGGTATTCCTTGTTACCGGTACCTCGGTTATATCTATTACCGGTATGCTTACTGATCTGTTAACCTATGTTCATTTCCGACTCACATTTGTCAACCTTTGCATATGCTTCATACATAGCCTCGGACTCTGCTTATTGATCCTTCTGTTATTTCTCTTAGTATATAAACTCATGTATATGTCTTGTAGTACCTCAGTCTGAATATCATATTAGTCCTCGCACTAGTCTTCACTCTAAGTCCTCATATCAGTTCTAGTCTTCCAACTTAATTGATATCCATCTCAGGCCTAGGGAGTTTCTCCCTAGGCCAGAGCTCCGCTCCTCCGCTCCTCCGCTCCTCCGAAGTTCCGGAAGTTCGTCCGGAACTTTCCCACGGTCCTCCGGACCTATTCTACTTCGGACTTTGTCCTTGCAGCCTTTCCTCTGTTTGCTTCTACTCAGGACAAGTCCTGAGTAGCCATTACACATATCTGTATTAGGACGAAACCCCATTGTAATTTCCGGAAGTTCCTCCGGAACTTTCCCGCACTCATCCGGAAGTTACTTGTACCCGTCCGGAAAGTCCTTCCGAAGTTTCCCGCGCCTTCAGATGTCCTTCGGATGCCTTTGGACGTCTTTGGACTTTCCTCGGACACCAATCTGAAATTAAGGGCACATACTCGGGTAAGGGGCGCAGCGCACGAGCTGAAGCCAAGCCCCTCAGAATCAGTCCTACCCTTTGTGCATGGTCTTAACAAATGCCCTCAATCAGGTTATACGAGAATGTAATTTGGCAAGCAGCAATGTGAGCAGGAAGGTGAAACTTGGGGATGAGGAATACAATAGTCTTGTTGCTGAGGTCAAGATGAATTGCAGAGGGATATCTTGACATGCGGTCCCAGAGGTTCTTACTCCATTGACAAGTGATATCATATGATATGTTGAGAACCATGATGTCGCGAGTCTGTTGCAATGTTGAGAAGAGCAGATAGTCCATATTAATGTATCTATCATATGTAAAGTCAATTTAGGTATTAGGGTCGAAAGGGTCGTGTACCTTTCGCCCTTCTGGAGGTCGCCAACTGCACATGGTCGTTTGAGATTGTGACGAGCACAGTCCACTGTACCTACACCTGTGGCCGCCAAACCTCGTGCATTTTTCGTGTCTGCAAGATTCACAGCACTGTGACGAGCGTACATGCTTTTCTGATCAAAATTGATATCATATGAGTATGCCTGACTTGGGGAGGGAGGGAGGAGAATCACCTCTTGAGGCAGTCTTCCTGCTTCATTCAGAAATGATTTAAATTCGTGTTCTTCAACAAAGTATGACAACCCCCAACTCAGACCAGGGTCGACTTCGTCAGAGGATACATTTTTCCTTGCCAAACGGAAGTTTGCGTCAATTGCCAGGAAAAGGGCATATTTCCAACTACATGATAACCATTTTCAGTATCCTGCAGAGAAAATCACTAGACAACATACTGAACTTCAGGCAGGGCCTTTTCCCAGTCATCCAGCATGTTCTTTCCTGGCTGGGGACATGCAGGACACAACACTGTGCAGGCACCTGGTGTAGCAGCGCAAACACCAGCAGGGTCATGTCCATAACCTGATCGTTTAAGGAGAGTGATGCTGCGCCACTGCTTTATCATTCTCAGCAACGCCTCATAACGATCCTGTAATGGAACAGTCAGAAAGCAAAAAACAAGCTGTGTGACATCAAGAACTTGCCTTGGGAGGACTTACTCCTGCGTTATCGGTGAGACGAGCCAATGTCTGCCAATATTCGAAGGTGGATGCCTTGGACTCAAAGGAGAGAATATGAAAGTGGTGTAGAAGACGGAAAGTAGTGGCACTCCTTGGATCAACAGTTGTAGAAGGGTACCACCATGTATGCAACAACTGAACAATGGGAGATTGTGCAATTTCACATGCACAGAAGTCGAGGGCAATCTCATGCACACCGTTGATATTGAGCACTACAAAGTCGTCGTAAAATGCTGTGGATGAGTTATAGCAACACTCCCCGCTGGGATGTCCAAGCTGGACACGTAGTCCAAGGACTTTGAGTGTCGTATGGGCAAAATAGCCATTATTCCAGTGCTTTGAAAAGAAAGTTGTGGTAAACGTGTTCCTAAGACCAAAAACACAGTACATACCTCAATTCTGTGCAATGGGTTTGCACGATGCTTCTCCACAGTGCATCATTGACAGTACAACTCTGTGGAAAAGCAATCTTTGCACCGATAGAGAGGAGGGAGTGGGCATTCTGCACAACCTCGACATAAATATTGAGAGATATAATCACCGCGGCCATCCAGTCGAAGCAGTTCAAGAAGGAAGGTATCTCACTCCAGCAACCACGAGGACATCAGGAGATTCTACACAATGTTAGAATCAGTCACAAAAACTTGAACAACACAACTCACACACAAAAAGAACTCACCCCTGCTGTGCGTTTATGCTTTTTAGGTCCCTTGTCGGTTTCTGCGAGATAATCTATGTAAGCAGCATCAACAACATTGAATTCATTGTGTCCATTATCGTTGAGTGGTGAGCCGGGGGCTACTGCAGGAACATTTGGCGTCGTCATTGGGCCTACAAAATACTCTGTGCGCATGGCAACACGTCCAGGTCCTGTGATAGTATGGGATATGTGTTTGTGCAGCTTGTGGTCGCCAGAGGTCTCTTGTGGTGCATGCATGGCTTGTTGACGTGCAGCTGAGAGATTTTGACGCTGGGAGGCCTGGTGTGCTGCGTTCAGCACATGCCACTGGCGCTTAAGTCCCTTGTCACACTGCTGGCGGCTTGGACCCATGACTCAGATACAGACTCAAGGAAGTGCTTGAAGACTTACTATTTATTCATGCAGCCATATTACTTCGCAGTAAGAGTTCAAGCATAAATAATGTCACGTGTCTGGTCAATCTGCTGTTCTAGTCTATATGCTACCTAATAGTAATTTTTGCGGATTCTCCATGAAGTGTGTACACCACACCATAGCTGCGCACTAAACCATCTTTCAGTAATTTCCATTGTGCTGTGCAAGGCATTTGCTTGCTTGAAAAGTTCATGTAGCTACATTCATGCAAATGCATACTAGATAGTTGAGAACTGAATCAATGCCAATACTCACACACGAAGACCCTTCTGATGCATCAACTCCCCCATAGAGTGAGCAACGCAGATCTCCAAAATTCCCTCCACATCAAAGTAGTACTCGATATCCTCCAAATATGCAAGTGTGGTGTTGAGATAACGACAGACCGTGTTAGCCGCACAAAACTCGGCTGCTAAGGAACCACAATAATCATGGATTTCATCTTGAATAGGGATGGCTTGATTGAGCAAGTCTCGGACCTTGGCTACCATATTTGTGACAATGGTTTTATTGCCATTGTCAGCACGGTGTCTTCTTAGATAGATGATCTATAGATAAACACCTATAAAAACAAATATCTCCACGCATGGTCAGCGATTCAGACAAATATCAATGGCTGATAATGTGGTCGTTCGTGGGTGGCTGTTTACACTTCCCAAGCTATGTCAGACCACAGTACTTCTGTAAGGTCAGCAACAATGCAGTCAATCCAACAAAAATGAAACTGAAATGAAATCACTCCAACAGTATGGCAGTGATTGAAAGACGAAAGAAAACTAGTCAACCCAACGGTATGGTGATGACAAAAAGAAACAAAGAAAAAAAGACACCTCTTCAAACCTTCCTTCAACAACAATGCCTTGTAACAATTGTATCTCGAAAGAGTTGTGTGGAATTACAGCAATCAACCCCCTCAGCACAAACAGGTAGAATCAAAGGTCAAGACTAATCAATGCTCAGTAGAACTCTTAGCTCACTGTTGAACCTGCTGCCAAGGAACTCACGATGAGTATTAAACAGAATCAGGAACGGACGTCCTTGGTTTCAGTACCAAGTCCCCTATTCAACAACTAAAGTCTAGCAGACAAGGAAGATCCTGGCTCAGTATCACTACTCAGATGAGTGAGGTCAAGTGTTACTGTCAATCCCTAAAGTCTCCCCACTAAACTATTCGGAGTCTAGATGGATGAAAGAGACAACACAAAAGCTTCTGAAAGTATGAATGAAAGCTTAGCACTGAAACTTGAAAGAGAAGAAAGAGAGAGGATCACAGAGAGAGAGAAAAGAGAGAAAGAGCGAAAGAACAAAAAAAAAGAAAAACTAAAACAAAAGAGTGACAGAAAAGAAAGACAAAGAAAGAAAGAGAGAGAAAAGAGAAAAAGAGAAAGAAGAAAACTAGAAAATCAAAGAAGAAAAAATAAAAAATAAAAAGTTCTGTCGGTCGTTGAGCACAGTGAGCTCAAGGTCTTGGTCGTCGTTGGTGGTGATGAGCTAAGGGTGTTGCTGAATGCTGATGCTGATGAGCTTAGGGGCTTGCTGGTTACTGAAAGTTGCTGGCTGACTACTGGTTACAATGACTTTGCTGAAGGTACTTGACAGCCCTGGTCACTGTTGTTGACAATGATCACACTTCACACACAATTTTATTCTGAAAGTGGGGCTAAAAAGCTCTCTTCTTTGGGCAAAAATTTGGGTCTTATATACAAAAAAAAGGGTGGCTGTGCTACATTTTCCCGCCATCTATGAGGGGTGAGCTTAGTCAGCGGTACCAAAAATCATTTTGCAGGGGTTGCTTATGTTGCACCAAATGAGACCATAATTAGTCAGCATTAGTCAGCATGCTTGGGCTGAGTGTTCTGTCATCACTTGATTTGGATCAAAAGTCACCTGACTTAAGATCATGTGATTTAGCATCATGTGACTGAAGGGTCATGTGACAGGCTGATTGTGCACTGCAAGAGAAATATTCATGATCATTGGTGTTCCGTTCTGATGTCACTTTGTTGAATGAGAAAATGACGCGAGGCAAGTATTTAGGGTTTTGAGGAAGTTTTCCCAGGGTAACCCACGCGAGAACTATTTTTCACAGTCACCTGACATGTGTGGGATTCAGCCTGAGTCATTGTTGAGGATGACTAAGCAAAATTCATCGCAGAATTAAATATACAAAAATATTCAGCCTGTCCAAGTTCCATTGAAAAGATGAAATGAAATATTTGTCTGAGCTGCATTCTGGCTTTAGAATAGAGGGAAATGGTTTCGTAGTGATTTCTAGGGTATTAGGCTCATGGGAGAGCATTAGTCATCCATGCACCGAACCAGTTTGGTGCAGGTCAACGGTCATCTGTATATGTGATGCTCTTGACAAACTGAAGCAAGAGAGCCTCGGTAAATGCACGAGGTTCGTTGATCAAAGACAACATGTCGTCTTTGATCCTTTTGATAGCGAGCAGACATCCTGGCAGATCAGATCTGTTGGGTATTAATTTTATGTTCATGTCATTGTCTATTTATAAGATGACATACGGTATTATGTTGTCATCCGAGTCATTCTCCTCAACATTGCCGGAATCATCTGACATCTCCAGCTCATTTTCATCTTCCTCTTCATCCGAGTCATAGCGATGTAAGAATCTTTCAGCAGCTTTCTGGAGCTCTGATGGCCCCGTGTCCTTTTCAATATGAAGCTCTCTCCGCCGGCTTAAGATTCTCTCTCTGTTTCTTCAATTGGTTGACTCAGGGACGACTGGACACAATTAATAAAAGTAAGTTAGACTTACTTTGCATAATGGCATCGGTTTTTTTCACGACTTGCTTGCATTTTTGCTTCGAGTGTCTTATGAATAGAAGGATGAGGCATAATTTTGAGAGGCTGTAGTGTTGCGGTGGTGGTTGATAGAAAAGGTTGAAAAGAAGCAGTAGCTTCTTGAGCGTGCCATAGAGTCAGACATTTGATAGCAGTCGGACTGAAACTAATAACATTATACCTAGCTAGCCAGTTAAACTGTGTTGTGATATATCATAGATTTATATTTGTATTGATAGCTAGCTAGGTATAATGTTATTAGTTTCAGTCCGACTGCTATCAAATGTCTGACTCTAGCCTTGAGTGAGAGCAATAGCTTGAATCATTTTGCAAACTCGTAGTGTTACATAGTTCAATGTCATTTGCAATATTGATAGTAGTCGGACCTAAACTAACTAGCTAGGAACAGAATGTCAAGTTAGGAAAGGCAGTAGACACAAGGCATAGGGTCAGCTCACCTCATATGAAATCACACGATCGAGCACTTAATTGGAAATTTTAGAAACTGCAAACATGGTTTAATAACCGGTCGCAGAAGAGCGGTAGAGCGGCTGTGAACACAATGACCAAATCGATCACAAAGCTGATGGGAAGTAGAGCGAAGGGCACACGAGTGCACAGCAAGGTTGAGGTGTTCTCGAAAATGATGTACAAAGACAACATACAAGAGATGGTGAAGAAGGAAATCGAGGCAGGTGCCCTGGCCATGAAGGAAGAAAGGCTCCGAGGCATGAAGGAGCTTACTAGGAAGGCGTATGATGCTTCTAGTCAAGAGGTTCGCACTTTGTGTAAAGTAAAAGTACAAGAAGAGCAAGACTTGAAGGCTCAAGTTATTCTTCGGAGACTTAAGGGAAGTGGCGTGTGTCCTACAAATGAGCAGTATGCGAAGTCAGACCTTCCTTCCTCTGTGGGTTATCTACTATATTTCTGACAAATTTTGCATCAGGGCGCTCGAAGAATGCACTGGTCCTATCTCACAATTTCTGCAGGCTATCCAGCATATGGCAGGCTTTGAATGGACTGTCATTGGCGCAGGCCCTGATCCTCGCCTGGATGGTAAACTTAATGTACTGACATATGTTTTCAAATTTGTCAAGCTTCGATTACTACATGCCTCACGAGTTTTTTTTAGTTACCACACAGGCATCAATTCTGCAGGCAGGAATTGGCATGAATCCACACCCGACTTTGTTGAATGTCACCTCAATCCACAACATCCTGTGTGTATAATATATCAATTGTTGTCATTAGCGAGAGGTCATGTTATATCAGCGCCGTTGGCTTAACGTGTGCCGTTGGGGTGATATATCACACTGCATACTGCACGCTACACCACTGTCCACTTACAGATACTATGATCAGTGATCGTGATCTTTCTCAGGCTGACAGAGACGGTCTTCGTTTGATGATAGGAACACTTTGAGTCTTTGTTTGACAATTCGAGATCTTATATGAATAGGTACCTTACCGATCGTGATTCCCAATTCAGATATGTTTGAAAACAAACACAACAAGTTGTATTTGGGTGAAAAAACAGCTGGGACATTAAGACGGTGGAATAGCCCCCCATAAAGACCTAAAATGGGAAGCCAGGCTCCATCGCAGCAAAGCCTGCCGATGTGCATATGCGACTGCACCTTCTGCTGCCTCTGGTGACCCAAAAGTGCGACGTGAACCCTGCAAGTCCCACCAAACAGCCTGCCACTCGAAGAAAGCAAGCACGTGCCTCATTTCTTCATGCAGTAGCTGCACCTCTTCTTCCCATCAATGTGCTCAAGCTCTGGCCCTGCACCATTCAACACGCAAAGCTGTAACAGATTCAATAAACGAGAAAAAACATATTACGTGTACTCACAGTCCTGTAAGCCAAACTCCATGTTATCTGACACTCCACGTGTCTTCCAGATCCAGGACACTGTTTGTTGACCAACTGTTGTGCCATTGTCTTGTCTCAGCAGGACAGCATCTTTTGCGCGATCGAGTGGCTTGAAAGTGAGTAGCCAGTTGTCGTCCTTGTGCAACCTTGGTGCTAGGTTGACAAGCACATTCCGCGCTGCGTTGTATTTGGCAGTGAGGGCATCAATCCGGTTGTCCACATTGTTGATTATTCCAGTTGCATGAGTGTTTGCACATTGACCGCGAATAAAAGTGTCTTTGTACTTATACAAATGGGACACTGCAAATATCATTCAGCGCATCGTTGGCCTGTGCCTCGCGCAAATCCCATTCGTGATTCAACAAGTGTTTGTCGCAGGGTAAAGTAGAGGGTATCGCAGATGGGAGGAAAAGAATGATTTTGTGAACCTTCTGTTCGGTGGCGATGTCATCAGATGAATGAAGTCGTGACACACATGGCATGTACAATAGTTGTACACATGACCATGTGTCAATGCGTTGATGAAGGGAATTGATGCATTGGATCAACGTCACTTGTTGAGCATTGGTGGCATGTTGTCCGATCTTCCCGGCCTCAAATGCAAGACATCGCCTAAGAAAAGTTTAGAATAATCTTCGCAACAGTAAATAAGTGACGTACTGCTGGTCTTCAAGATCTAGCCCTGATGAAATGAGCATCAAAGGCAATATATCATCATGGAGAGACAAGCTCGTGCCATGTTCTATATTGTCTGCCTCAGCCTTTGACAATGCTAAGCGAACCGATGCTGGGCTCATGGCTTATGATACTCAATTAGATAGGTACAATCACATGTGCAGGAATAGACTCACTGGTGACCTTTAGTTCGAAAGGATTTGGTTTGGAACGTTCAGCTTCCCAAGCCACGACGTCCTCCTTCCAGCAAGCTAACTGGCTGGAATCGAGTGCAGCCTCAAAGTCGTTTAAGTCACGCCTGCGCTCAAGAACCTCCGGTAAGGCAGCCTTGAGCTTACAGGCAAGAGTTTTACCTAAATCAAATAAAAGATCAGAATTATTGTTCTAGTTAACACAACTTACCCATCAAGCACACTTTCTTCCAGTTCCAGTCATTGAAATGGTCATTGAGGGTGTCGCACCTTGAACCCGGACCCATCTCACGAGTGCTAGTTGCAATAGGATTGATGTCGGCCCATCCACATTCTGGGGCCTTGCCATTGGTTCTCCCGACCCCCTTGATGAAATTGAATGAATAGGTAGTCTGACAACTCAAGATGTGAGCAGGAAGATGGAACTTTGGTACTAGAAATGTTATGGTTTTCGTGTTGTGAGCCAGGTGATGCTGCTGAGGGAAAGCGGACATGCAAGTCCGGAGGTTCTTGCTCCATTGACATGCGATGTTGTAGGATATGTTGATCACCTGGAGCATTGACGCTGACTGCATGCTCGAAAAGAACATGTAATCCATATTAATATACCTGTGAATATGTGAAAAACAAATACAACACGGACAATGTGAATGCTTACCTTTCGCCTTTTTGTAAGTCACCAACGGAGTTTGGGCGCTTGAAATTGTGTCATGCACAATCTATTGTGCCAGCACCGGTCGCTGCGAGACCACGTGACACCTTGGTATCAGCCAGATTGATTGCATTGTGACTTGAACATGTACTTTTCTAAATAAAACATGTTGACAATCATCTCACTTCAATAATTATGACTCACCTCTTGAGATATTCCTCTGCGTGAATTTAAAAAAGATTTGTACGCTGTTTCCTCGACAAAAAATGCGTAGCCATGGTTGAGTCCAGGATCAACAGCATCTGAGGAAAAATTCCACCGAGCAAGTCGAAAATTTGCGTCAATCGCAAGGAAGAGCGCATACAAGAACCTTGACTCAGGCGGAGCATTTTCCCATCCATCCGGTAAGTTCTTTCCTGGATGGGGGCAAGCTGGGCATATAACTGCACAGGCACCAGGTTCCATAGCAGCAATGGTTCCAGGTTGATGGCCCTGGCCGGACCGTTTGATCTGCTTCAAAAAGTGCCATTCTCATATCATGCGGAGGAAAGCATCATAACGGTCCTGGATTTGCTTGTTAGTTGTCTAGCAGGCAAGCATAGCAAAACATGCCTTTGAGATGTGAATACCTGTGTTGTCAGTCAATCGCGCCACCGTCTGATAGAACTCGAGGGCAGACACTTTTGATTTGAACGACAGAATCTGAAAGTATTCAAGGACACGGAATGTTGTGGCGGTCTTAGGTTTGATGGTTGTTGCAGGGAATAAGCGCACTTGGAGTAGTTGAGTAACATGGAGTTGAGCAGTTTGGCAACCACAGAAATCAAGTGCGATGGCATGAACACCATTGACGTCGACAATGACAAAATCATCATTCAATGGTGGAGTTGGGTTGCTGCATCGTAGACCAATGTGATGTCCAAGCTGAATGCATAACCCGAAGGATTTAAGTGATATCTTTTGAAAAAAAGATCTGTTCCAATGCTGCAACAAATCTTGTGAGTAAGCAGAGATTTTGAAACTAAACATTTGTACTTTGATACGGTAACATGGTTGCCACTGATGGGTGTGTAGGACACACTGGCGGCACACTAGTTCAATGCCATGACAATCCTTGCATCTGTACAGGGATGGTTCATTGCTGCCACAGAAGCAGCTATCTTGAGTGTGGCTTCCATGGCCCTCAAGGCGAATGAACTCTTCAAGAAATAGTTTGGCATCAGAGTACCATACGCGGAGAGGATCGTCCTATTGAAAAAAGATCAAATTGAAATCAGATCTATGTCAGGATATGGGAATCATACCGCTGCTGTCCATTTCCATGTGATCGGTTCCTCAGAATTGTCACTGAAGTAGTGGTCAGCTTGGATATCTGAAAAATCAAACTCCTCGATCAAAGTGTCGTCTACTGTGCCTGCTTCCTGGGGTTGTTTGGATGGATCAGACACCATGTAATATGCAGTAGACACTGAAAGGCGACCACTCAAGCTCTGCTCAAAGCTAGCGTGTTTGTACTGGTGCTCGTCACGATTCTCTCGTGGAGTATCATTTTCCTGATGACGTGCTGCCCGTGCAGCAGCATTATTGTGAGCATAGAATGTCTGGCGATATTGCTTGAGCTCAGCTCGTCATTTGTTGGCCTTGGCCATGTACTCGTGAAGGCAAGCGCCGGTGTTGCAGGTGGTGTGCCAGTAGCTTACAGCTGCTTACTAATGACTGCCACCAACAGAAGAAATTTTCATGGTATGTAGCAAGACGTGTAAAGACGTGTAATGAAGTTGTACAATTAGTCAAAAATTAAATGCGGACACCTTTCTGATACATCAGTTCCCCAAACATGTGAGCTTCAGTGAGCCCACAAATGCCTTCATAAACTGCAAGAAATAGCAAGTCCTCTAAATAAGTGAGCACGGTCTTCAAGAAACGCACAAGCGAGTCAGCAGCATGCCACTCAGGTGAGATACCACAAAAGTTGAGTATCTGATCTTGTGCGGCAATTGTATCGTCGAGTGATTTTTGAACCTTGACCATTGCAGATTCGATGATGGAGATATCACCCTTGGTGGAGCAATCATCCACCATCATGCTCTGGACATAGGCCTGTAAGATGCCCTGTGCAAATACACAAGGGTCATCGCCGATCGTTTTCAACATGTTGTCCTTGATGTTTTTAATGACAAGTAGACATTCCGGAAGGTCGTTTCTGTGGAACATTATATATATGTGTTATCTTGTGTCTATTTATAAACAAAACATACAGCTTATTTTCGTCCTCATCTGATGAGTTGTCGGATTCATTGTCAGACTCAGAGTCAGTGTCGCTGGAACGCAAGGCTTTTGCAATAGCTTTGCTGAGTTCCTTTGATTGTTTTGCCTCTGCCCGTGCTTGCTTGCTTTTGGAGCTATGAAGCTCCTGGCGTCTCTTAAGAATGCTATCTCTGTGACTTTACCGTCATTTGTCAGGAACCGTATCAGAAATTAATGAAAAGGCTAAACATACTTAGCATAATAGCGGGCTCGCTTTTCACGTGCAGCAACTATTTTAGCCTCAGTTGTTTTACAAATAAGGGGTCGAGCCATTTTGACTAGAGAGTAGTGATTGTGGCAGCGGTAGTGTTGGTTGAAAACTGAAAGGAAGCAATGATTGAATGAACCTTTGCATCGAGCGTGGCAAAACTACATTGTTGGCATTTTGGTAGGACCAAAACTCGGACTCCTGTAGGTCGAATCGATATATAGTATTGATGTCATACTCATAGCTCTGTGATAAATGGATCACCTGTTCAAACAAACAAGTCAAGCCCATTTTTCATGTTGATAATATGAATGTACACTCTTTCTACTTGAGATACATTGGATTAAATAAAAGTCCTACCACCACATTCAGCCATCAAGCACTGAATTTAGTCCCTTGTTGTAACACACTTGTGGTCAGACCAAAACCCACACCTATTCATAACCCTGCAATAAACAATTCACCAATTCAAACAATCAAATCAAGCATATTGATATGTCAATCATGAACGTACACTTTCTACATGATATACATTGACTTGAATAAAAGGACGGTATATACAACACGAAGGTAACAAGTAATTACATCCAGAACACTGATTAAATGCTGTCCGTCTCATGTCCAGAAGCCTCTCCAACATCACAGTCAGGTGCTTGCTCACCAGTGTCCGGAATGCCTTCTCCATGAGGAGCAGAAGCTTCATTGTCGCTACTATCCTCATAATAAGTACAAATTTGGGGTGGCTCCGAGTAGCTGATGTCATCACTCTCCAATGACTGATTGATCGCATCAGCGGCTGGCACGTCTTCCTCGGGTGTTACTTGTGATCCGGCATCACGAGGTCATTGGGCTGTGCAGCATGCTCATGAGTCCATGATATTGAATCTAAATTTAAACTACTGACCATAGATGCAGCACCTACAATAAAAAACGTGAACTAAACAGTCAGCATCATTGGGGTTGCATTCCCAGCTGATAGGTTGCGGTGAAATCATTGGTCCAACTGTTGCGAGTGCGTTATAATCAGTGCGACAACAATCTGCTAAAGTAAACTTACCTTGTCCACTTTGCACAAGGTAAATGGCCTGTAGAAACTGTTCAACCGTAAAGCATGGGTGTGGCAGCATTTGCACGCAGCGCCCATGACATTCACATTTGATGGAGCCGTCGTCTTGGTTCATGTCTGGGAAAAAGGATAGTACTAGTGTTAGGAAGTAAAGGGTGGGGAGAAAGTGGGAAAATTTAGCTGGTCTAGATGCTTCGGAATCATCCGCTAAAATTGTGATTGGTTAGAGAAATGAATTCTGCCTTGTTCGCTCCCAGAAACTCACCAATTGACCAAAAGGAATGAACTCAATCACAAATATATCAGGTGTGTCATATTTTATCATTTCAAACATTGCTGGGTTAATGGGGATTAGTTGTAGATGGCGCCTCCACAATGGACCACACCAGAGGAGCTTGAGTGGCTTCAAAAGGAGTTACCTGAGTTTCTTAAAATGCAGAAAGAGCAAAAATTGACTTGCTTCTATGAGCTACTGTTTCCAAGGTGGTTTAGTCAATTTCCAGAATGCCTCAGATATTGGGGACCTACCAGTAAACCTCTGCACGAAAATGTTTGTCAGGATGACGACAGCGGTGACGCTAACAGTGACAAGATCAGCCCACTGCCACTTACTCCAGAACAAGAAGCTGAGCTTGAAGAGGCAAATGAAATCCGACGGAAAGTGAGTTCATTTGTTGGTTGTCCTGAAAGAGTAGTCGCTAAAGACATTAGCAGAAATTGAGAGAATGGTTCCGGAATAATGCAAAAAGTAAAACGACACCTGGCGCCACGTCAACAAGCAAAGCTCTTGCTCAGCTTCTATGCCAGCGTGCTCGTGGTGTTCGTGACCTAAAGGAAATTGAGGTCTACTCAAAATTGCACTACAAAATGAAGATGCAACCACTGGTAGAGGACAATGTTCAGGAAAATCACCTTGATTCCAAGAAGAGAATCGCTATTGTGCAGAAGGTCACAAACAGTTGTTTTGCCACTGAGTCCGAAGACGTGAAGGCGGAGATTCATGAGGAGACCACATGGATCAACAGTGCCAGGAGATTGGATATGTCTAAAACACGTACTAAAGAGGAAATTTACCGGTTAGTTTTTTTGTTGTATTTTGCCTTAGCAGGACATATTGATTCATGTTGATATAGTGCCATTCAAGAACTGCCCATTGTCTTGGGACAGATTTGTGAAGACTTGGCAATGCTGACTGGTGGCTGGCATTATACCCTTGTCATGGGGGGTCCTGATCCCATGTGCAAAGGGGATGTCATGACTCTAAGGTAAGTGGATGTTAATATCATTGCCAAACTTAATCTCATTTTACCCTTAGTTTTCACCACAGCAAAGGTCGAGACAGCCTCAGCTTCAAGGCCTCCAACCCAAACTTCCATGAACAGTACCTAGTGCCATTTGAAAAGCACTTGAGAAGTGCTTTCGGTCATGTCAACCAAGTTTCCGAGTCATCCGAGTCTTCATCAAGTCCCAATCCATCTCCTCCAGCGCCTTCTGACAATTCGTCTCCTCCAGCGACTTCTGACCTTGCACTGCCAAACACCCAGAATGACTCAGGCCCCGAAGTTCCTGGAATGTGCATCTTCCCTTACGACTCTCTCATGGACCCCAATGTTCCAGTCTCTGAAGCTGAGATTGATGCATTCATCTCTACCCTTTGTCCAATGACAGCTGATCAACTAAATGGTCAATGGTGGCCTAATCAAAGCCAGGACATGCAAATGGCTGCTCTGCCATTCATAAACCCTCCTCCGCCATTAATCAATCCTCCTCCGCCATTTACAGAATCACTTATCAAGCCACCCATATTCACCCCACCACATATCTACAATCCACTCCCGTCGTCACTCTCCAGGTCTGTGACCACTCCAGCTGCCACCGACTCGTATTCTTTTCCACCTGTTTCCAGCACACCAATTCCCACCACACTGGACACTCTGTTTCCTGCAGCAAGTGTTCTACCAGTTTCTAGTGCACCTGACACTCTGCTTCCTGCAGCAAGTGTTCCACCAGTGTCTAGTGCTCCTGGAAGACGTTCAGCACGCATTACACGACCATCAACAAGAGTGCAAGATGCTAACAAGATTGGTGATAACACCAAAGCAGTCACTTCCAAACGCAAGCGCAAAGGTATGGTGGAAGCGATCTCTGGGAAAAAGTACGTCTTCCACCAATTTTCAATACCGTTTCATCCCGCTAAACATCGATATTTGTAGGTCTAAAAAATGATATTTCACATTTCTTGCAGTGTAATACACTACGCCTCAATACTCTGTCTTATTTGTAACCTAGAACTTGTAGTAGTTATTGTGATGACATTTGTTTTCTTAATATCAGTTAATGTGACCCATCAAAGTCCAACTTAAGATCATGTGAAGTCAAACAGCACACAAAAATCGAACAAGTCAGGCTGTGAGTCGGAAGACAATGGGTAAAAATGTAATTAAATAATGATAGTACATATGTAAAAACCCTTGGACGTGAGCCAACTGATCACATCATTCTTCCAACGGCCACCCATGATGACAAGATGCCTTTGTGCTATGGCCTGAACTTTTAGTCGATTGGCCTCTGGAGAATTGTGGCTGAAGAGGGATTTTTTTAAGTCGTTGGCGAGAGACTAAAGATGCTGTCAGAAAACGAGACAAAAGGAAAGAAAGAAAGACAGGAATCACGTTAAGCTGGCCTTGGACGTTGCGGATTGTAACGAGATATTTTGTGCCACCATTGCGAACATTAGTATAAACGGGCAAGGAACCATGAGAATTGCATTGAATGAAGTAGGGTGTGGCTCGTGTGATGAATGACATTAATGTGGTAAGACTAGTCACTGAACTGAGCTCTAGCGTGACAAAGTTGAACTTAAGATTACATGAGTCGAACGACACGCAAAAAAATTGAACAACTTACAAGTCAGGCTAGTGAGCAGCTGTGAGTGATGAACGACATTAATGTGGTGAGACTGGTCACTGAACTGAGCTCTAGCATGACAAAGTCAAACTTAAGATCACATGAGTTGAACCACATATTACAGTGACCTATTTCCGTATAATACGAGGGAACGGACGTGCATAATATCCCGTATGATACGGGCCAGCGGACCATGGGCCCATGATAAAAATATCCTCGACTATGACGGATGGGCCGGGAGGCAAATTATTCCCGATGGAGGCAGGTGGGCCCATGCAGGGGATATATAGAGTAGATGAGTGGGCCGATGTACATGAATATTAGGTAGACGGGTGGGCCGAGGTAGTTGGATATTATGCAGATGGGTGTATTAAGGTAGATGTGTATGAGATAGATGGGTAGGTACTTGTTATCACATTCACGGGTGGGCCCAGACACATATTAAATTAGATGGGTGGGCCGAGGGTATTATACAATATTGTATTATACGGGTGGGCCCAGACGCATATTAATTAGACCAGTGGGCCGAGGGTGTTGTATGGGATGTTGTATTAGACGGGTGGGCCGAGGGTGGTATAAAATATAGATGGGTGGGCCCATGTGTATCATAATTGTAAACACGATGGAGCTGAGGTAGTTGTACATCAACCAAATCAGAGGAGGTAATAAAATCAAAGTTACCAAGTTCCTGGAGCAGCAGGTGATCTCCTGACATGGCCTTTGATGGTGCACAGGTTGTCTTGCAAAATTTGGAATCCGGGGTGCGAAGCTTGTGTTACCCTATGAGAAGCCAAGTTCCGATTACCAACCTTTGGGTCAACCGTACTCAGAGGAGGTAATAAATCAAAGTTCCTGAGTTCCCGGAGCAGCAGGTGATCTCCTGACATGGCCTTTGATGGTGCACAGGTTGTCTTGCAGAATTTGGAATCCAGGGTGTGAAGCTTGTGTTGCCCTATGAGATGCCAAGTTCCGACCACCCAAATTTGGGTCAACCGTACCGACTTCCAAGTTCCGGGACCCGGGAGTCGACAAATGAATATCTGATAACCAGCACACTTCCAATCAGGTAGTATTTCATTGAGCAATGAATCATCCAAGGGGTCTCTTATCAGACTCGGTAGTCAATATAGGCAAATGATAATGAAAACATGAAAGTTGTTATTATGCTATTTTTCAAACCCGAGACCCTGAAACCCATTGTTCAACATGTCCATTTTTCACTCACTGCACAAATCACCAAGTTTCGAGTGCCAAAGCGTGAAACTTGAAACCCAGTGTGCAACATGTCCATTTTTCATGTACATTACACAATTCATTGAGTTCCGAGTGTCAAGTGCCGAAACCCGAACCCCGAGACCCGAAAATATGTATGCAACATTTCCATTTTTCACTTGTTGCACAAATCACCGAGTTTTGAGTGCCAAAGCGTGAAACTTGAAACCCAGTGTGCAACATGTTGATTTTTCATTTATATAACCCAAATCATAGAGTTACGAGTGCCGAGGGCCGAGGGCCGAACCCCGAGACCCGAAAATATGTACACAACATGTCCATTTTTTACTCACTGCACAAATCACTGAGTTTCAAGTGCCAAAGCGTGAAACTGGAAAGCCAGTGTGTGACATGTTGATTTTTCATTTATATCACACAAATAACCAAGTGCCAAGTGCCAAGTGCCGAAACCCGAAGCCCGAGACCCGAAAATATGTATGCAACATTTCCATTTTTCACTTGTTGCACAAATCACTGAGTTTCAAGTGCCGAAACCCAAAACTCAAAACCCGGCATGCAACATGTCCATTGTTCAATTATATTACACAAGTCATTGAGTTCCGAGCTCCGAGGGCCGAAACCCGAACCCCGAGACCCGAAAATATGTACACAACATGTCCATTTTTCACTCATTGCACAAATCACCGAGTTTTGAGTGCTGAAACCCAAAACTTGAAACCCGGCATGCAACATGTTGATTTTTCATTTACATCACACAAATCATTGAGTTCCGAGGTCCGAGGTCCGAGACCCGAACCCTGAACCCCGAAAATATGTGCACAACATGTCCATTTTTTACTTGTTGCACAAATCACCGAGTTTTGAGTGCTGAAACCTGAAACTCAAAACCCGGCATGCAACATGTCCATTTTTCATTTATATTACACAAATCATCAAGTTCCGAGTGCCGAGGGCCGAAACCCGAACCCCGAGACCCGAAAATATGTATGCAACATTTCAATTTTTCACTTGTTGCACAAATCACTGAGTTTCAAGTGCCGAAACCCGAAACTCAAAACCGGGTGTGCAACATGTCCATTGTTCAATTATATTACACAAGTCATTGAGTTCCGAGCTCCAAGGGCCGAAACCCGAACCCCGAGACCCGAAAATATGTACACAACATGTCCATTTTTCACTCATTGCACAAATCACTGAGTTTTAAAGTGCTGAAACCCGAAACTCGAAACCCGGCATGCAACATGTTGATTTTTCATTTACGTCACACAAATCATTGAGTTCCGAGGTCCGAGGTCCGAGACCCGAACCCCGAACCCCGAAAATATGTGCACAACATGTCCATTTTTTACTTGTTGCACAAATCACTGAGTTTCAAGTGCCGAAACCCAAAACTCAAAACCCGGCATGCAACATGTCCATTGTTCAATTATATTACATAAGTCATTGAGTTCCGAGCTCCGAGGGCCGAAACCCGAACCCCGAGACCCAAAAATATGTACACAACATGTCCATTTTTCACTCATTGCACAAATCACCGAGTTTTGAGTGCTGAAACCCAAAACTTGAAACCCGGCATGCAACATGTTGATTTTTCATTTACATTACACAAATCATCGAGTTCCAAGTGCCAAGGGCCGAGACCCGAAGCCCAAGACCCGAAAATATGTATGCAACATTTCCATTTTTCACTTGTTGCACAAATCACCGAGTTTCAAGTGCTGAAACCTGAAACTCAAAACCGGGTGTGCAACATGTCCACTGTTCAATTATATTACACAAGTCATTAAGTTCCGAGTTCCGAGGGCCGAAACCCGAACCCCGAGACCCGAAAATATGTGCACAACATGTCCATTTTTCACTCACTGTACAAATCACTGAGTTTTGAGTGCTGAAACCCGAAACTCAAAACCCGGCATGCAACATGTTGATTTTTCATTTACATTACTCAAATCATCGGGTTCCGAGTGCCGAGGGCCGAGACCCAAAGCCCGAAACCCAACATCATGTACACAACATGTCCATTTTTCACTCATTTCACAAATCACCAAGTGTCGAGTGTCAAAACCTGAAACCCAGTACTTCAAATGGACACAAATTGTATTTGTATGTATTATCCATTGGTGTAGGGCTCAAATAACCTGGGAATTGTATTTGTCAGTACTCGGTACTTGGGACTTGGGACTTGGGACTCGGGACTCGGGACTCGGGACTCGGGACTCGGGACTCGGTACTTGGTACTCGGTCCTCGGCACTCGGTGATTGGTGGTCAGTGGTTGGTACTCAAGACTCGGTAGTTTCTCCCTGATACCCACCAAAAAACCCACACCCACAAGGTGGGTGTGGGTATATCATGGGGTATGGGTGGGGGTAGTGCTACTCATACCCCGTGGTTCACCCACACTATTCCCTATCGGTACTCGGTACTCGGCACTCGGTGATTGGTGGTCAGTGGTTGGTACTCGAGACTCGGTAGTCAATATAGGCAAATGATAATGAAAAATGACAGTTGTAGTCCATGTCAAGGTGAGTGATTTGGTAGTCTTTCCTTGTCATTCAGCAAAACATCAGCAATAATGAAAAAATGAAAGTTGTTATTATGCTTAACTCCTTACCAAAGGTTGTAGTCCAAGTCCAGGTGAGTGTAGTGGTAGTCTTTTCTTGTCAATTGGTTATCTTGTTACTCATTACGCAGTACTTGGTACATGGTAATTGGTACTCAGTATTTGGTTTTGATACTCAGTATCTGGGAATCAGTAGTCAGCTTAATCAAGGTTGTAGTCCGAGTCTAGGTGAGTTTATTTGTAGTCTTTTCTCGTCCATTGGTTACCATGTGACCAAGATATAAGCTAAAGAAATCCAAAACATCAATAATGACAAATGAAATACATGTGTGCAGTAAGTGAGTCTAAAGATAAAGAATGAATATTAATAGCGAGACTTGCACATTATGTCGAGATATCCAACATGACAAGCCTGTGATGTGATCAGAGACCTGGAATAACACCCATATACATCCATTATAATAGCTTAAAAGCTTAGAAATATTCATGAAGGATTGATGTAATGATAGGCAAAATGATGTGTGGAGAGTGACAGTAGACATCTTTTATACAAAGTCACATTTATATATGATTCAGGCCAAAAATATCATTACAAATATGTAGGATAGATTGTAAACTACCCAAGGAACCCATACTGCCTACTGCCCTGAGGGTAGGGGGTGGGTAGAAGGGATATAGTGAAAATATGAGTTGACCCAGCATTAAAGTCCTACCACTGCTCAACTAACCATTTTCGATGCTTTGGGTCTTTGAAGTTTCCCACACTCAATTTCTTACCCATTTCACTTCCTCAGTACTCAATTCTTGGTTGATTTGTCTGTAAATTTATGTCTATGATACTTAAGATATTTGAAATGTACCCCAGGTTTCTGATTATGAAGATTCAATGTTTTGAAGGCATGGGCCCCTTATCAGGCAAAATGGCAAGTATGCACACTAGCTCACAAACTCCAGCCTATTGTGAGCTGATCTTGGTCATAAGAAGCAAGAATATAAGCTATGCTCATTATATATTAAAAGGTTGGATCATGGATGCAAGGGCAAGATACTGAAAATTGTGAAAAAATGTCACAAGTGCAATTGTCTATGCTTTGTTCCTGGAGAAG